GGTTGTATGAACCCACAAAAAGCCAAACCTCTGCAGAAATGTATAGATGGATGAGCAGTCTAGCAAAGAAAACTGTCAAAAGAATACTGATAAGAAATAACTTAGAGAAGGATCACGCAGTTCTAAGGTCCTTAAGTTGCTCCTTTGTTTTGTGCGTGTGTGGTTTAATGTGGTTTTTTTCCTAAAACAGCTCTGAACTCATAACGCATTGTGTTTCCTTAGTTATTGCTCTTATACATTCGTCTGCATGAGGAATCACAAAGCAACTCATTGCCTATTATTTCTGTTGCTTAATTTTTACATTTGTGTCTTCTCCTAATCTTTCTAAATTTAGCTGCAGATAAATGCAAACTGTAGGCTCCTCTCCTGGGTTCAGCTGGGAGGGAGAAATCAATTTCCTTCATAACAGTCTGTATGATACTGTGGTTTAAATTTGTTACTCAGACATTTGTTAGATTTGTTAGCAAACTTGAGTTTTGGCTATTGCCAAGAAGTGCTTGCACAGCATCAGAGTTTTTCTCTTTCCCATTCTGCCTGTGCATACTGGGAGCTGGGAAAAGGTTGGGAGACGACACAGCTGGAACATCTGAAACAAATTACAGGGACTATATGGTAGGGAATGCACCAAATACAGCAGTGTACTCCCTACCATGTAATGCCTTGCTCAGCAGTAACAACTGAGAATAAAGGAAGAACAGGGAAAGGGTGTGCTCTGCTTCCACTGGCTGGGCATTGGTCTGCTTGGCAAGGTGGTGAGAGATTACATAATTTGTTTTTCTCCTCTTTATTTTATTTATTAACCTGTCTTTGTCTCAACCTATGAGTTTTCTCATTTTTGTGTTAAACTCCTGTTCTCCCCTTCATGTTGATAAGAGGGGAATGAATGAGTGGCTCTCGGGATTTAGCAGCTGGCCAGGGTCAACTCAATACAGTGTCTTCTTGTCATTAAAAATAAAAATGTAAAAAAAAGAACCCACACAGGGTTCTACCACTCAAAACTCCTACTTTCTGCTTGCTGTAGCAGCCATTCTGAAAACACATCTGGTCAATCCAAAACATGTCATAGCACTTATATATGCACTCCACTTTCTAAGTGACTCAGTTTTTACCTTCTCCTCAGAATTTCTTTAATAAGAAAGAAAATTTGTGAATAAACAAGTTTCATTTTGTGTATGTGACCAACCACTTTCAAAATATCTTAGGTTGTCTTATTCGGATTTCACAATTCCTTTTTTTCCTTGTAAGCAACCTAAATTGAGACAGCGTCTTCATCTCACTGGTTGTTGCAGATCTTACATTGTGGCCTCCTCTGAAACTCACATCATCCTCCCATCTGCTGGCATCTGTCATGTGGCATCTCTCACACAAGGGAACATGAGACACATCACTGTGCCCAAGATGGGCTGCTTGACATTGTCAGACACTCAGAGGAAACACAGTCCTTGCAGTGAGCAGGGTAAAGTGAGGAGTTTCAAACCCTGTTCTTGAGAGATGTCTTCCTACAAATGTCTTCCTACAGCCCATTTGCTCATCAGGAAAAACCTAGGATCAACACTTGTATCCCCAATGAAACATTCAATCTATTGAAGTTAGATCAACCTAAAGCTTTTCAGGAAGTGTGATATGCATCTATTTCTCCAGATCAGTGGGTTAGCCAAGCACGTTTTTTTCCCTAATTATAACTTTTGTCATAAGGTATATTTGAATTAATTTTTACTTCTCTGGCTGTACTGAAAGTATTTACATTCCAAAATTATTCTTCTGAGAATAGTGTTACATTTAGATGACATTCTAACATATTTCTAGCCATGAAAGCAGTAGGATAAGCAGCATGGGGAGTAAGTAGTAAGTTCATCATTACTTCAGCAAACTCTTTTTAAATAGCCATATTTGAAAGCAAACAACAAAAAACCCCTCAGGCATAAGGATTGAAAGAAAAAGATAATTTGCCACCAGGTGTCAGTAGTGGTTCTTTTATTGTAATGGAAGACTTAAGACTGAAAAGGTAGAATCTGAGACAAAGTAGTCACAAAGTGAAATGCATTTTTTAAATTGCTGCTCAGACCAGAAATTTAAAAATGATCAAAGGCTTTTCTCTTCCTCCCTGTGTAGAGGGCAATAACACAGAAGATACTATTGGTGTATAAAATGGTCTTTGCCCTCCATTTCCTACTAAACCATTGTGGGTTTGTTTTCAAATTACAAGGACTGCCCTTTTAAGAAAATGCATCTGTGATCAACCCATGCAAAAATTTGCTGGTACATGATCATCATGTTTGCTTCTTTTCTGGTCACCTCCACTCTGCTCTACCTATTACTAATATTCTTTCTCCAAGAAGACAGACTTAAAGACAGAGTTTCTTGCTGTCTTTATCTCACTGGGCAACAGAGTAGTGAGAATAACCTGGTTATCCCAGGTTTGTGGTAGTTTTAAGACGTTGTTTTCCATTTTTATGTCCAAGATAAACTTTTAGTTTGCTTCTTTCATGACTGTAGAGAGACTTCACTTGGTTGTTACAGTGCCATAATTAAAATGTACCTCGGTGTCTGTAATTTTAAGCCTCCAGAGACTTTCCCTATTCAGGAGGCAAAGATTTACTGTGGTATCTAAAGAGAGACATCACCACTGCCCTCCTCTGTTAACACTGCCTGGTGTGAAACATATGACACTGTATCATGCGTCATAGATATGTCTTTACCATATTAATATCTTTGTCAATGATCTGGATGAAAGGATCAAGTGGCCCTCAGTCAACTTTTTGGACAATACCAAGCTGGGTAGGAGTATTGGTTTGCTGGAGGGCAGGAAAGTTCTGGAGAGGGATTTGGGCAGACTGAATTAATGGCTGAGGCCAATTGTATGAGGTTCAACAAGGCCAAGTGACAGGTCCTGCACCCGGGTCACAACAACCCCATGCAGTGCTACAGGCTGTTGGAAGAATGGCTGGAAAACTGACTGAGAGTAAAGTATGTGGGGATGTTGGTTGACAGCCATCTGAAAGTAAGCCAGCCGTGTGTCCAGCTGGCCAAGAAGGCTGATGGTATCCTGACCTGCACTGGCAATAGTGTGGCCAGCAAGACGAGGGAAGGGATTGTCCCTCTGTACTTGGCATTGCTGAAACCATACCTTAAAAACTCTGTTCAGTTTTAGGCCCCTTACTTCAAGAAAGTCACTGAGGTACTGGAGTGTGTCCAGAGAAGAGAGACAGAGCTGGTGAAGGGTCTGGACCACAAACCTTATGAGGAGTGGCTGGGGTTGTTTAACTTGGAGAGGAGGGAGCTCAAGGTAGGACCTTATTGCTCTCAATAACTACCTGAAAGGAGATTGCAGTGGGGTGGGTGTTGGTCTCTTCTCCCAGTTATCAAGCAATAGGACAGGAGGGAATGAACTCAAGCTGTTTGGGGGAGGTTTCGTTTGGATATTGTGAAAAATTTCTTCACTGAAAAGGTGGTCAAGCACTGGAACTGGCTGCCCAAGGAAATGGTTGAGTCACCAGCTCTGAAGGTATTTAAAAGATTTTCAAATGTGTGGGGATACCATTTAGTGTGACTTGGCAGTGCTATATTAGTAGTCAGACTCAATAATCTTAAAGGTCTTTCCCAGCCCAAATGATTCTGTGATTGTGTGTTGGATTCATCCAAAAAATGTGTGTGCAACCACTGCAAGCTAGCTCCTTTATTTATGGAGTGGCTCCAGTGCTGCTTTGTAGGGGCTTCTACACTCTTTTGGGAGCATGCATACACCAACACAACAAAATGGTAGTCAGATCCCTGATCTGGGACAAGTAGATCTGCATACCAGAACTGCTCAGGGATGTATTTAAGTGTGGTGGCCTTAAGATATTTGTCACTGAGATCAGAACCAAGGGATTTTTGAACACTAGATAAGGTTTTACGATTTTAACAAAATCATTTTCTTCCTAGACATCAGTTGCATTGTCTGATGTGTCTGGGTTATCACAAGGGAAATAGTGAAAGTGTAGAAAAATTTGGGATCTTTAATCCAGCTAGCATTGGTTTAGCTTTCAGAAGATATGTATAAACAGAAGATAAATATGTGGACAATTGGCCTGGATTGCATTCTGTACCTGAATTTCCCATTTGGAAAGTGGAGAAAAGACACCGACTATCTTCCTAAAGCAGTTATAAGGTCTGCTACCAAAAAAATTGCAAGAATAACAGGAAGATCATTAATGACAGTTAAAGCAGAATTTTAGGTAGGAAATGATGTGATGATCCAGGCTGCCATTATTGCTTTATAAACTCATTTTACCTATGCGATTTGTTTTGAGAACCAAAATAAAGTGGGAAAGGAGTTTGCAACAAAGACAAAGGCTAGTGTGAATATATTTTCCAGGAAAGTTTATTCAAGAAGGAGAAGGGAAGCTCCAGACTCTGGGAAAGGGACCATCAAGAAAAAAATCTGCAAGTAACTATAGTGCCTGAAAGCACCAGTCTCTGTATATTCATTTTCATGTAGGGTTGGACGCCAATGCTTTAACACAGCCAGATTGCAGACTGGTCCCCCCTTGGCTGATATTTCCCAAACACCAGGACAAACTTTGGGAGAGCTTGGTAATGGCGTATACCTGCTGAGGTGTAGCAAGCCCCTTAAAGGGGATTTGGAGATGCAGTTCCTTCTCTATCCAGAGTAGCACTGGATAGATTTTTGTAAAAGGTTTTGAAGTCAGACTGTGCCAGACCCTTGTGTCTGATGATTATGTTTGTTTAAGTTAGACCTCTGAATTTGTAACAATGGAATTATCTATTTTTCAGGACAATTAACACAATGCTTTTGTATGAGCTGAAGGTCAGAGGATTAATGTGGTTTTATCTACAAAGCATTTTAAAAGCTAATTAAGAATCATCCAGTTTGTTCTGTACTAAAGACTGAGAACATTTCATATTAGATGACTCTTGATCCTCTGCAGCAGTAGAGAAGGAAGAGAGAGAGAGAGAGAGAGAGAGAGAGAGAGAAATGGAGGGAGAGAGAATTGGAGAAAGAGTGAGCTGGCATGCAAATAAATATATCACAGGGATGCAGTTAATGAAGTGCAATAAAAAAACCAAAAAAACTCCATTCCGGTAGCAGTAGAGATAAAATTGTCTCTTGGACCAAAGGACCAATCTAAAATATTAATCTGAAAATATATTCAGTATTTGCAATTACAAGCATTCCTTGTTAGAGCAAGAGAGATGAAGAGGAATATTGAGAAGTGCTTCTCTGAGAACATTATTTTAGAGAGGTTTTTATCACTTAGAGCTTTCAGAGCACCTCTTCCTCTCCCTCTCTCTCTCTCTCTTGAGCCTGACAGCCTGTACATGCCACCATTCCTCTACAGGGAATGCCTGGTTAATGGGCCTCCAGCCACACATGAGTCTCCTGGGAAAAGTATGCAAGGGTGTGGAGCAGCAGTGGGACTTGGGTGCCAGGAGGACCTCGGAGCAGAAGGAGCTGCCCACTGGTGTGGGGATGAGTGTGGGTGGCAGTGAGAAAGAAGACAACTTGCCCTGAAAACACCTTGGCTTCAGGGGAAGCAAAATGCGACACAAGCCAGAGACATTCAGAGGAAATGCAAGAGTTTGAGAACCAGGATGAGGAGCTTATTTTCAATACAATGTCCTCTGCCTAGCCTTTTAAAGGGATAAGGTAAGAAAAGTGGAAGCTGTTCCTTGCTTTTGGATGCTTATGTATACTGCTGATTCAAATGTTCTGAGGTTGATTTTCTGTGTGTGTCCAAATGATGTAAAGACATCGAAGTGCCTCATTCCAAAACTGGGCTATACACTACTCTTCTGTTCATCAAATATGGCAATTATTTCAAGCTTAAAACTTATTAGGGATAACAATGGGTGCTGCCAAAGGTAGAAAGTGCACATGTATTCAAAGAATAAGCTGAAAGAGGAATAACAGCAACATGTGTAGCTAGAATACATTATGAATTACCGTCCTCTTACACAAAGGCTAGTAAACTCCAAAAATGCAGCAACTTACAGAGCTAATAAGAGGGACAGAAATGTGCAGATATCTTGGTTTGTGTAATTTGTGTCTTTCTAGCATTAGGCTAGAAAGGATGACTCACTGGATTTAGCAACTACTTGTGAAGATGAACATATTAATAACTTTATGCTGCAGCTCTGCCATAAAATATAATCTTTTACAATTCTGTACTCTGAAGTGAAATACAAGTTTAGAATCAGAATAAAATAATGAAAGATATTTGAATTGTTAGTTTATGTTCTTTTTAAACCTGTGTTTATGCACTAAAATATGCAACTTAACTAGGAAAAGAATATTCTCTTTCATTGCTGTCCCTTCCACAGTGTGTAAAAATCCCTACTATAAAAATCCCCTTATATTTAAATAAGGGGCTACCAAAATAGCTGTCCCAGGTAATCTGTGTATTTTTATATTTTCCCAAACATAAATTACTATTTTTCTTCCCATACATAAACACTTGAATAAGAAAACTTATACAGTCCCATATTATTCAGTGGCAAAGAAAGCAGTTGCTTATTGAAATTTTCATATGTAAATCACAATATTAGTAGACAATGGGATATAGATCCTTTCAGCTTTTGATAACATTCAACAGATTTAAATAATTAGAAAACACAGCACAAGGCTTGCCTTGAGGACATAGTAAATATAGCCCTAAATATTTACATCCTCTTTTGAACTTTTCTCCTTGGCTTTAGGCATTCACTAATCTACAGAAATGATAATCTGAGCACTTGAGGGCTTGTAGAATGTTATATAGAAAGTGACAGATAAAGCATCAATTGGAATCAGTGTTTCTAGGTATTCAGATGGTGACCAACTGTTAGACTGAGCACTTTGTTTCTCCTTGATTTTAATGAGACAGTTTTGCAGGCTGCGTCACTTACTGGAGACAATTTTGCATTTCCACATTAAATATACTTGCAGACTGACTGAAATAATGGGGAAGAAAAATACAGCATTTTTACTGTAGATAAGACCCAAATTGCTAATTTCTAATCTTATTGAAATATTTATATTTTTATGCATGAAACAATCAATCAGGCTTAGGATATTCACCTACTTAAACTTTTAAAAAATTATTTTCAGGGCATGAGTAAAAAATTCAGAAAATAACCAACTATTTTCTCCCACACCTAGTGTTTTTATATGGTAATAATTCCATTTATTACTTAATATTATCTGTATTTTTAAAGTAGTTCATGGTAAAATATATACTCTGCTTTCAGTCTTTGCCTTATAGCTTTTGAAATTAGTTACGCTCTTGATAGTGTTTAAGTGAAAGCAGTGTTTGTAATTTATTTGTAAATGTACTTATATTTACAAATTCATTATATTTGTAAAAGTCCTGAGATCAAAGAACAGAAAATTACATGTATTATATATACAGATATGTAATAGAATATAATAGAATATATAATAGTAGAATTAGAATATATAACATATTAGAATATATAATATAATATAAATACAGACACAATGTATACATATATATACAGTGATACATCTCTATCTATCTATCTATCTATCCATTCATCTATCTATCTATCTATATCTCTACTTGGATTCTTGAATGATAATGAACTACATACACCCTTTTCTCAAATGCTTAAACTTGAAAGTGATTACACTAAATAGTCAGATATCATTGCAGAGAAAGTCAGAGTTCAATTTCTTACCTGCTTTTTTAATTTCAGGGACAGTTGTCTTCTCATGAGCTTTCTCCCTTGTCCCTGTTTTTTCTAAGATTTAATTAAAGAGAGTAATTTGATGTGCTAGAACTCTGAATCATACACTCAAATATGCAGTCAACCAAGTCCTGCTGGGCACATACTGAAAAAAATATGACTTATTTGGGAGTTCAGATTATTCCCTTATAGCACTTGCACCCAACTAGACACAGAGCAATCAGCTGAAAATGAAAATTAATCAGTATGCATCAACTATGGATGATTTGGACCCTTAATAATTCATCAAAAGTTAGGCAAAAGTCATCAGTGCATGAATGTGGCAGCTTTTAGCTTAAGTTCCAGTAGCAATGAGATCATTAAAAAATAATGAATGACTTAAATATTTCTCATGAAGCAACACCTTTGTGGATTTTAGATTCTTTCTGAGAATTTATGATTGGAATGTTATTTAGATGGATACCATGACTTTGCAGTTTGGTCATTGTAAGTTTCAATTGTGATTCTATAAACTAAATACATCTACCCTATCTTCAGAAACTGGTGTACCATGAATTGAGTGATATTTTCCCTGAGTTTTGTGTATTGCAGTATAACTATGTCCTGTTATCTGTGGACTCCATTAAATTGTTTAAAAAGTCCAGAGATGGCCACCAAACAGGACATTTCTTTTGCCAGAAAATGAGTTTAGGTAATATTGCATGCTGAACATATTGGACACATTAGACATTAGATACAGAAGAAGTGGAAACATGCAAATAGTGACTGAACAACTAAGAGAAGGACAATACAGCCAGAAGTATAGGATTAACCTAACAGAAAACAATGGGAAATGAGCCAGAAGTGTGAGTAAAAGCTGAATGAGGCCAGTAAGAAATGTTTCCAAACCATACCTTTCACCTTAGTTTCAGTCATACTCTTCTTTTCATCACTCTTTTTCTTCTCCTCTTTTCTCTCTAAAAAAAGAAATGGAAGTTCAGCTGGCTACTTTTACACAGACATATGTATGTATGCATGTATATATGTATGTACATATATATTTGGGATGGGGCATCCACCAACTGCAATATGCATTATTTCAAAAGCATCTGCCTCTATTTTGGCAGTTATTAGGGAACAATAGAAATAAGGAGAATACTTTTTCTGTTTTAAAATCAAACGTAAACAAATTAATTACCTATTTCATGAAAGTTTTTAATTAGAAAATTTGGAGTTTGGTAAAGGATATGAGAAAGCTATAATTCTTATTTTTCCTTTGGGAAATGAACCCCCTTTTTGATGGAAAAGAATACAAGAGTACAAGAATAGCTAATCTAAGTGATTTTTTAATTGTTCATCCATGAAAAGCCAAATTTTTTACCTTCAGTTTGTGTTGCATGGCTTCAGGTATTGATACCCAAATATAGTTAGAAAACTATAGTTTTCTTTTTGTGATCTTTTACTGTTATAAATGTGGATAATAAACCAAGATTTATTATCTTACAAAAGACAGAACCATGAGAATTTAAGCAAGAGTCTTTTCTTTAATTGAAAATATTTAAGGAATAAGAATATTTTCAAATCCAAGCAACAAAAATACTCCTGTCCCTTACACAAAACTAACAAGAAGTTAAAGGAAAAAAAAAACCCAAACCAAAACAAACCAAGAAACAACTTACTTTTCACTTCTCTAGGTACCACTACAGACTTTTCTTCTGCATGGAAAAAATATATATACACAGGGAAAAAAATTAAAATTTGTAGAACATTTGACCCAAACTAAAAGATATCTGGGTGTTTGATTTTTGAAAAATTGCTGGGTTTATAGAGTACCTGAATTCCACAGTCTCTCTATGCTGATTTCATAAATAAAGTTATTTTGCCTATTGTGGAGGCAATGTATTTATCAATATTCAGGGTCTATTGAAATTATACTTGTGCTGCTTTTCTGACAATTTCTTTTAATATTAAGCATAATATAGTTGTATTCTACTTCTTTCTTGTTTTAAACAGATTTGTTCAATGTGTTTCTCTCGTTGTTGTCTTCAGAAAATTCTCACATACATTGTACAGAATGTTTCTCTGAGTTTTATGTGCTTAGTTCTTCCTGCTGAAACTCTGAGCACTACACTACACTTCAAGCTACTAATTCCTCTGTGTTGTGAGATTTCTTACGCTCTGATGCGTAGAGCATCAGAGTAGTGTTCATCCTACACTAACTTGTTTAGAACTTCATATTCTTGTGTACTTTATTATTCCTGTTATTGCCTATCTCTCTGTCTCCCTGACACACTTCTCCAGAGATTTGTGCTAGGGATTGTGCCTGTCTGGTTGAAATGGAAGTCTCTTCACCTTCAGATTTCACAAAAGCTGTTCCACAGCTCCACTTTCCTGTGCCACCTATGACTCTTCAGCAGATTATTTCTACATGTAATGTAGATCTCCTCTAATTTCTAAAATGTAGTTTAATTATTTGCATACTCTGCCTGAATTAATCAAAACTGTTAAACATACTAAGTGTGTGTTATTTACTGACAGAAAAGAGCTTCCTTCTGTCTTCCTTCCATGAGGCTTTACCCATAGTAATTAGATGTTGAAGAGCTGCTGGGACTTCTGTAATGTCCATTTTTTTTTTTTTTTTTCTGAGTGCCTCTGTTCTGGTGAGTTAGATTGATTTTTTTGGTTTCTTAAATTTCTGGTGCTAGGTGATGCATGAGAATAATTTGTAAGCCCAAGGTCCTTACAACAAGATTCTCTTTAATCCGAGACCATTTCTGCCTTTGAAATTGTAGCATTTCGCATGCCTCTGGGGCCCAGAAAAAAAAACCACATGAAATCTGCCTTAATTTGCACAGCAAGGTTCAGAGCCATATGCATCTTGAAAACCACAAGCTGAGGTATTGAGCTTTGAGAAGTGAAGCTTTGTATAGAGGATATACAGGAAGTGGCAGGAACATTTACTGCCAATAACCCAAGCAAGGATGATGACATCCATGGCTGCAGAATCTTCATTGCCAAATCATTCCACAAATTAATCCCACGGACATAATTTTCTTCCATCAGTTTCTCAAGTTGCATTATTCAATGTCCAGACAACTTTGAGATGTCTATATTTGTTATGAAGTTTCTGGGGGATGATTACATAGAAGTATTAAAGGACTGTGGCCCCTATTATGCTGCCTAATGCAAGATAAGCACTCTTGCTCAATTCTGAGAGAAACAGTCACTGAGCTTCCATTCACATCTCAGCTGCATCTAGCCTCACTGGTGCCCCTCACAGCTTCCACTGAGAGAAATTTCTGTAAATGAGAATGATGGACTTGGTAAAAGGGTGTTATGGGAAGAACTATTTCTGACTTAAGGAAGTAATCCCATTTCTTGAATAAATTTTTTTTCCTCCCAATTTGAGCAGCTCACATTTAGAATGTTGTATATTAAGTGTACATTTAACACCAGCAAAACTTGTAATTTCTGAAGCAGTAAATGTACTGGGCTCTATGCAGATATGTACACAGCTAAATTAAGAGGCAGAGCAAATAATTAAATAGGAATTTAGGCTGGTCTTTTGTGCTGTAAAATATGAAGCCCATCTGTTAATTGAAAGAACTTACTTTTTTAGCTAGGAACAGTTACAGAACTACAAAGGATCAACTGCATAAAGAGGGATCCTAATATTCACAAAGTGTGGGTTACACAGGGAAACACTAGGTGCTTTGGAGGATTTGGCATTGACCACAATATAAAATTCAAGTCCAATTAACGATTGAAAAATCTGTTGTTATGGCTACCGTTTCTTAATTAACAGGATTTTTTCACCAGTGGCATTAGTACTGAGCTACACTTCATGGACAGTGTAAGACATACAAGTATGAAAAGACCTCCCTTTTAAAAGCCTGCAACACATTTACAAGAAGGAAATAAGGATATATGCAGCTGGAAGAGTACATGACAGAATCAGTCAGCAAGGTCAGCAATGGACTTTTCATTTAGTCAAGTTTTTTTCTGTAGACTCTATGCAGAAGTTGAGCTTTATGTAGTATAAGAAGGAGTCCAGTGAACATGAGTATTGTGAATTAAAGCAGTGATATACTACTGAATGGGACATTCAGGTAAAAAACTTATTCCTGGGTGAAAAATAAAAAGAAACAGCATAAAATAATTTTCTTGCAAAGTGGCTGGATTGAACAGAACTGACCTTGAAGCAAAGTAACCTCTGAGATGGAATGATTTACTTTTTTAATGAGGGATGAAGGACCAAGGCCAGTAGAAATCCAAGCAAGATTCAACAAAGACCAAGAAAGGGATGTTTCACTCTGAATTTCCTCCGCCCATCTTGACAGCACCTTGTCTTTGTGTTATTCTCATAGGAGGGCAGCTAATTACTGGACAATGGTGGGAGGGGAGATAACAGAAGCACGCTAAGAACGCAGCACTTGAAATCAGGCTTGGTAAGACCAGTGTGCTACTCTGCCAGTGCTGAGTGGAATCTAAATTTAGGGATGCACATGAGTTACGGGGCATAATGTCACAGGAATGCTGCCCAGGAACTGGAAGAAGAAGATGCTTTTAGAGCTCCTTTACCATACTGCTCCAGATGGTCCATGTTCTTATGGAAAGTCTGATTCTGGAAGGAATTGTCAGCTCATCCCAATGCGTCTGAGAAACTGAGGTAAGCAGGGAAGCAAAATATAGCTACAGATTCCTTCTGGTGGAGAGGCATGCATATAGTGAACACTAATTAGTGGGACTGAATGCCAGAAGTTTGGAGATGTTTGGGTTCACATTCGCTTTCTAAAGTTCAGATCCTTATATGAGGCTTATCTGCATTTATCTAAAACCCTCTTGTCTAAACCTCAGGAGGAAAGCTCCTGTGAGAGACTTTGGTTATTTATTGCCTGACTGTGAAATGCTACAACAGCTTTTCTTGCCTACAGATTCCAGTCCTGGCAGAACTCAGGATCAGCAGAGACACATGTATATTCACTGACACAAAATAAAACAAAACAAGCATTAATTCAGCTTTTCCTGAGAAACTATAATTCAGACTGAACACAGTGACTTCATTCAGGATAAGACTTCATTTCATTTTTGTCCAAGAAGCTCTGTGCACCTTAAGCTGTCATTAGCATAATTTTAAAAGACCATTCAAGCAAAACACAAGCTGCTTCTTAAAAATGTTTTTCCTTATTAATTTTGAAGGGATTACAGTTCCTCTTTGTTTTACTTGGTGACTAAATTCCTCTCTCTGCTGGACTCAATAAAAGTTCTGCAGTTGATTTCAGTGAGAGTTGGATATCCTTTTAAATATTAGAATAACTCATTACATTTCAGTTTTTGATGGTATTTCTTTTCTTTCCCCTTGGCCTGTTGCTTAGGGTAGAGACTGACAATAACTTTTGGTTCTAAACATTTAACACCCATACACAAAGTAAGACCCCCTAAGGGTTACAAAGCTTTTGGAGAAATGAATAAACAATGCAAGGAGATATTTCTGCTTAGTTTAGGATGTCATGAAAACTCATACCTTTAAGATTAAATCTAAATTTCAAGAAAAAATTGACCTCAGCTGTCTCTTTGGAAAAAAAAAAATCTCTTTCTGAGGTAAGAGAATCCTTGTTGGTCTGATTACTTTCTTTATGAGAAATAATTCTGTCTTGATTCAGCCAAATTACTGAATGGCCAAGAAAGATCAAAGAAATCTAAATAGTATTAATCTACAGTTCCTAAAGTTCTTACAATTGCTTCTGTTCACACACAAAGTGCATGCACACATGCACACACATTCTCTCTCCAACTTACAGGTGAGTGCTTTGGCCAAAATGAAGTGCATTTATTTGCAAAGCTGTTTAAATGACACCATCTTTTTTTCCCTGCAGAGTAAGGAAATACAATTTCTTTTCATATTGGGCAAGAGAAAGGCTCTTGGGGCACACAGATCACTGGAGATATAGCACACCCTGAAGGCCTAGGCAATCTCTCCAGCTTGACTCTTTTGAAGAGCTTTTTTTGAAGACTGCTTCACTGTTTTCAAATCCCAGTCTGAAACACTATTTGGCAGCTGTGAAGATTGCTTGTGGAGATAATTTTGAGGTCTGCAGAATCTATGCAATAGAAATATCATGCTTGAAATTCCTAATGCTTTCATGTGACCTACATAAATGTTTCTTATTCCTTCCTGCAGTGATTATGGACTTCTTTTTCATGGCTCTGTTGCATTAGGTACCAGAAGTCTCTGTTAATAGCATGGCCCATATGTTGCCCTCACTAAACAGCACAGTGTGGAGCAAAGGAATAAAACCACAAGAAAGATGAAGCCAGAATAGGAATGGCAAGTCAAAAAAGAGAACAGAACAACTTCCATAATGAGACCAGCAACAGAAACTCTACTGGACAATGGCCAATGGTAAATACGACACAAATACAAATATGATGATCACTTATATTCCCAGGCAAGCACTGATTTTTTACGGTACAACATTTACTCGTGAAAGCCAACCAACACAGCTAAGGTAGCTTGGCCAACCTTCACCCTCCTTGTGACTGAAATTCCTACTGGACAACAGGAATCAATGTCAGGGCTAATTCTGTTACCAGTGCTGGGAAGGTTTTGCTGATATTCTTAATTCAGCATGCTTTTGGGCAAGCATGTCTGAGTCTTAATAATGGGATGATGAGGTTATGCAGGACCTTTGTAAGAGTTTCCTTTTTCTTTCCAAAGAAACATGGGAGTTCTCCCTTTGAAAACCCAGATTAACTTAATTCCAGTATGTGTTTTCCATTTGCAGGTGCAACATATGTGAAAGACTATTGTTTTTCTATAACATTTAAAAAGCACTTTGAAAAGTTAAAATAGTCTTCTGAGGTATTTTTTGTGTTTTATTGGATAAACCTTGGTGAATATTTATTTTCAAATGCATACTCTAACATTTTAATTTTACTATTATAATGATGAAAAAATATAATAATATGTCTAATCAAAATATATATAACTTTATGCATGTTTTTTCTCACACTAGTGTGCTTTTTTTCATGTCTGTTTAACTTTTTGTATTTTATGATAAAATAGAAGCAGTACAGAAGAGTCTCATGTCATTAAAGAAAATGTCAAGGGCTTTCTAAAACAGTGAAGATTTGGGGTTTTTTCATCACTGCTGAATCATTAGAATTTACTGCTTAAATGTCTAATTTAAATCATTAAATAGTTCATTTTGCAACCCTGTTCATATTATTTCAAAAGTTTTATTGTCTTCAGTATAGACTCATGGAGATATAAAGCCCATATTTCTCCAAAAAAACCTTGTTATGCTGTAAATACAGCAATGCATTAAAGCTGACAAAACTGTTCATCTATTAACCTAGATTAAACCTAACCCATTGTATTACAATATTTCTAATAGAAATACATTTCTTTTTCCCTGCTTATATTCTCCCTTGGACTAAAATTTATCAGAAAAATGGATTTTCATCCACAACTCATGTCAATATTATTAAGAATATACTAAATGGGGAGAAAGATTTCAAAATTGTGCCTTTTTTTAAGAGTTCTGTTGTGTCTTGAATCATGATCTCTCACTGAAAGGATTCTTTAAAAGATAATTTATTCTATAGTATAGAAGAAAATCAGAGTTTTTTAATAGAACAATCCATGTACAGAAGAGAAGGCAGACATTGACAGACTGTACAGAAGCAGATTGATTTATACAAGATTTATACACTCCTGTACATCAAGGGAGCTTTGTCAAAATTTGTATTGACTTCAGTAATTTAGATATTCTTGGTTATATCCCCTAATGTTCATATTCATGAACAGAGATATAGACTAGAAATTCTTCTTAAGACAGCCAGATAGTGTGCATTCTATACAGCAACACAGACGCAGTTGCCAATTTAGCCTCCACAGGAGTTTTGAGGGAAGTTAAATACATTTCACAGCAACTTGCTTTACTGCATTCTGAAAAATTTGTAATTAGAGGATTCAATGACCTAGAGAAAACACTCATTTTCCTCACAGATCCTCTGAAGATGTTATAGATATTTTTTTCTCCTCAATATCATAGATACCATCAAGATGACAAGGAACAGCCAGTATACTTCATTCAAGGAAGGGGGATATTTCAGAACTTGTCATGATTCATTAACAGATCAGAATAGTTATGTTGATGACTCTTCCATGATAATGCTCTCCCACTCAAAGATACAGGAACAGACTTTTAGGACAATATAACTTAGGAAAATCATACTCAGATACAATGCTGTTCAAATGTTTTTTTGTCATCCAGTGCTATTCAAAGTGGTAGAAAGCATAGTTCTACTTGAGATCACGTATTAAGACCCTTTCCACCAGGAGAAGGATTTTGGTACACTTTTTCTCACAAAGGTGCTGTGGTCTTGTGAGAAGGCAATGACATGCTATTCTGGAACAATTAACATGAAGATTCCCTGATACCTAGCTAAGCCTCTGATCTTAGTTTTTCATTTGTCTAACTGCAGAGTTCCTGAGTGATTACCTTGCCATGTCAGAGAGGGAAATATGGGAGGACTATCAGAAAGGAAAGTCCTTTTCATGTGAATGTGGAAATGGAGGAAGGTAAAAGCTGCGTGAGCTGAGGAAAAATTCAAGACCTAAGAAAAAGTATCACAGAGAAGCAGTATACACTGCAGAGAAGTTTTAGGATGTCAGTGAATAAGAAAATAAAAGAAATCTAGAGTTAAAAGTGGTGTGGAAGACTACAGCCAAGGAAGAAGAAGGATATTAAAGTCAAAGTTCACAGAGCCATGGAGAGCTGATCTGTTCAAATTACTGGTGACACCAGTGTCCTGACATGGCAGCATCAGTGTCAGCCAGGCTGAGAACACTGCTTCCAAGTACTTGTGAAAGCTTCATAAAAAGATAAGATAAAGAATTTAAAATTAGTTCTTTAGTTCCTAGTTTACCAAACAAGGTTTCCAAGCTTGAAATACAAGTAGATGTTATATATCAATGCCTTTATCTTTACAAATTCCTTTACCTTCTTTTTCTTCACTGTTACAGGATCCTATATTTTGTTTTTTTATTCTCTGCCGCTCATGATCTGAAAATTCAAACTCTTCATTGAAGTTTTAAGGTAAGATCTTTGAAAAAGCCAACCAGCCATGAAATAGGAAAGCAAAGATCTGTTCTTTTCTTTCTGACCAGAAAGTCAAGTACAAAGTGCTTGTACAAAGCATTTTGCTTTTTGACCAGGAGATATCTGAAAATTTCAACTCATATGCACACTCCAATGCAATTTATTGCTTACTACTAGAATCTAGTGTACAAATTGAGATTGTCTTAAATAATTACCCCCTTTCCAAAAGATTTACAGTGGAGCTGAAGGAAGAGAAAAAGGCAATGACAATGGGACAAAAATGTGAGATTTAATGTATAATAACGATATGCTCTTTTTCTAAGGTCTCAATAATTCAACAGAGCATAATTACTACAGGACATTGGATACTATCCAGGAAAAGCATTCTATTTGAAGGTATCAAATAATCTAAAAATTTTAGAGATATGTGGCACATACACACCACTATTTCTACCTTATCAGAAAACAAGAATGGTCCAGGATTACCTAAGGCAGCAGTGGCAAAATAGAGCAATACTGAAAACATGTCAATCTAGAAAAAGAGTAAGATCCTTTCAGCCTTCACCAGCTGCAAAATTACATATATAATGTCTGAATATCACTGAATTGGAAAGCCTAGGGTATAAGTAGATTGGTCTCATAAATTTTCTGTTTGATAAACATTCTGTTACTTCCTACAGCTTTACCTTCTATTAGAGCTGGTTTCTTCTGTCAAAAGTTAAGTCAGTCTTTGATGTTATATAAAGTATATTTTTCAATTAAAAATTCTTCTGTCTGTTCTCTATTCTGACAACTTATGATACTATTTCCAACTATATTTATAAGAAGAATCTTTCGTTTCAATTTGTACCTTCTCTTGATCAGTAATGTTTAGTGATGTACCAGTCATAAAAGTATCTAAGCACTAAGAAGTCACATGCAGATGTCTCTTCAGCTATTTTAAAGATTTAAATTTGTCTGCCTACTCCTCTTTTTTCCCTTTTGACATTTTGCCAAATATTCTCATAAATTACTTTTTTTCCCTCTAGCGCTGAAATAAAACTTCAGGGTTTAAGGTTCCTCAAGGCACTGTGGCATATTTTCTCATACGTGGAAAACACAGAATAACACAACATAACAGCTTTTCATAATAACATTTTACAAGTAATTCTGCCTTCTTCATATCCTCCAAATCTCTTGCATGAAAAATATTGTATCCTAGTGACTGGCCTTGAGCCTTAAAGGGAATTTAGTTATATGGTTCTGAGCAGATAATCTCCCCCAAATTTGTTTGCCAAATGGGCATCTAATTTACAGTCCCAATTACCTGAATTGCATGCATAAATGAGCTAATGAAACACACAAATGTGTAACTGGTCATAAATAGTCATTTCTATGTGCAATTGCAGTAATTGCATGCTCCTCATGATTTTGAAAATTAAGAATCCAATGTTAATTTGATGCTAGTTCATCTTGTGTAACAGCTATATTTAAAGATTAAGTTTATCATTCAGCAAACGTGTCAGCCTTGTTCTATTATGTCTTTTTTCCATTATGGTTAATTGACGGATAACAGAGATTAACATTGCAGGGACTTCTTTCTGCTGATAAGCAGGGTTCAAACATTTTCCTAAAGTAAGCAAGAGTGCAAATCTATTTCTATACTGTCTCAAAATAACCACAATTTTATACTCCTTTAAACAGCGTGTTTAAAAAGAAATAATCATTTGAGGTAACGAGATTTTTGGGGAAAGACATAATAAGTCACATAACTATTTTTATCCAAATGTTCTGATTCACAATAATCACATTACAGAAATATCTAATTACTGTAACACTTTGTTTCAGTCACGGGTCCTGGCAAAACCTAAGTCTCATTTTCTGTTTTCAAATGCAGGAAATCTTGTAGCTCTTATTACTTACTCTGCTGCCACCCCATCTGTTCCTCTCTTAGACTGCAATTGCTTTCTGGGTAACATAGAACTAAGACCTCTATGAGAGAAATTAGCAAGTGCCATGGAGTGACTGAAGGACTCAAGTATCATATGAAAAACTGCTACATAATTACACTAAAAGATTCAGCTATTTTGTACTATTAAATTGTATGATGTAAAGACCAAGAAAATATATTGTAATTGTAGTTCTAAGTCATCAGACATAGTTAATTTTAAAATTAAAATTAGTATTTCAATCACTTTACTGTAATGATCAGACTATAAACAATATAATTCAATTGCAGGGATTATGTTTTAATCTTCTGAATGTAAGATCTGACTTTGTATTTCTCTTTCAGAGGTTTTAACAACAGCAATAGGGTTGATAAATGTAGAGCCATAAATATTACATTCATTATTACAAATAAGGCCCAGAAAAATTATTGAATAACAATAGCTGAAAGAATAATCCAAAGTATATTAAGAGGATAATGTTGATTATGATTATAGTTAGATAGCAAGTTATGGCTGAACACCATTCAAAGCACTTTACATATTAGGCCTCAATCCTGTAATCTCAGGAAATCCCCCAAGCCATCTGTGAGACTACTATAAGGAACATTTAAGTTTTGTCATGCATATGTCACTGTGTCATTCCTGTCCCAAGCCTAGGAATGTGATCACTTTCGTAATATCGGCTATATTTAAAAAAAAAAATTTAAAAATTTAAAAAACCATTAGAACAAACAGTCAAGTTAATAAGTAGAAGCCAATAAAGGTGGAAAAAATCAAACTTGCCTTCAATAGCTGCTGGTTTCTTTCTTGGACTGTGTTCTAGAAGAAGACGAGGTGGTGCAAATTCCTTATGTCCTGCACCTAAGAATACAGGTTAAGAAGCATAGAAAATGTATTCACCAACAGGCTGAGCAGTTTCACTGGGAGGTTGAGCTCCCTTCAAAATGGTTCATGTTAAAAATATTACAGTGTGCATAAAAGCTAATATCTTTCCGACACTATAAGAAGGAAATGTATTTCTCAACAAATAGACTAATTTATTTTTAGGAGTCACATTTTAAACCAATGAAATCCATGTGACTCAAACATATGCTGAAATGTTACGGTTCTGGTTTTCTTCCTTAGACTCAAAAGATAATAATAATACTATAATAATAAGGTTGCATACTCATGATGCCTCTTCTACAACAAAGTCTTATTTTCTTCTGTCAAACAAATGATCTTTAGTTGCTCCCTAAAGTCCACTTAATGAGCTCCTGGAAACACCAGAAAAATTATGATGTTTCTCATCCTCAAGGCTTATTCTTAATTAGCCAATACCAACCAGGTCATGCATTGTAAACACTGATGAGGTTTTGATTCCAGCTGCTGACTGAAACACCTCTACTCTCTCAGTGTTCAGCTGGGACTTTCTGTACAGTCTTAGCCTATGTGCAGATATCATGTTTTGTACAAAACACTTCTCACTTCATCTCTCCACAGATTCACGAACATATTTAATGTACTCTTATGTTACCTATGCTTATTTTCTAGTTTATGACATATTTGCAGTCTCCTTATATCCTTTCATTTTACTGGCATTTAGTCTCAGTAGCTATCCTGTCACTGTCATTTGGAAAGTGTATTTTTTTGTGACCTGAGAAATAAAATTAAGTAGTTAAATGTAATATTAATTCAGTCATATGCACCAGCATACATTCACTGCACCAGAGTCCACATGCAAACAGACTGTTAAAGCTCAGCTCCAGCTTCACATCAGAAACTCAAAGCCATGCCTCATGCTTGATGATAGACTCAGAAAAGAAATTAAGGCTTTAATGGGTCTTGGAAACTGCAACATCTTACTTACCCCTCTCACTTTGCAAAGGTGTGTATACTCATGGGGAATGCATGAGAAAAACATCATCTTGAAGACAGCAGTGGGATTTGAGCATCGTGGACTTAATGTTATTGCATCTCATCACCACATGTACAATTGCAGGCACATAATTTGTAAGTGTGTGATTCAGTTTATCCAGTAATTTGTATAAAATATCAAACGTAGAGCTGCTCAAACTTGACATGTGCCTGAGTCACTGACAAAATGTTGACATATTGATAAAACCAATGTATTGAAGGTGTTTTGCAACAAATGGTAATAATCCTAATTTTTCCATGTATTTCCTGTCTTGGCAATAAACCCAAGTGCATATTTACTGATATCACTGAATAACTATAGCCTTAAAATGAATGTTAGGCAAACTTCAGGAATCCAGATATTTAGCCACGATTTTCCAAATGCTTTCTGTCTGAAAAAAAAATATCTTGAAGTTGCAAAATGAACAAATGAGCTGCTGATTACCTTTGTTACCAACCAGAATAGAAAAAATATATTCATAACCATGTCAACACACAGAAACAGGAGCAACTGAATTTCCAGTTCAGAATGAAAACAAAAAACAACATAGCAATTAATAAAGAATGGGTAATCTTATTTTTCCTTCTATATTTGATCAAAGTCCTATAATAAACATTAGCTCTTTTTTTCCCTACTGGAAAATAAAACTGGAAAGCAGACCACCTATTCTCCAGTAAGAAAAAGTGATAGTTTTTATAACTTGAATTAATATTTTGTGGTAAAAAGGATAAAGGGCATTGGCTCAGAATGTTGAGTAGATGAGTAATGATGAAGGATAGTAGATAATTTGGACTGCAGAATGGCATCTACAGTATGGGGCAGTGATCTAACTCCTCTAGGTCAAATTATAGGCTGGCCTCATTATCTCCCTGTGCTTTGCTGTGGCTGCAGTTTTCTAACGATAGCACCAATGTGCTCATAATGCCAGTATGATACCACTTATTGCTAATGACTTGTCAAGTTCTATTTTATAGCTTTACAAGTTTTAAGCAAATCATTTATTTCATGCAAATTGACCACATGATCCAATATGAGAGTGTTTTAAGTTTAAGCTTCACAGATCAAAAACTTTCCCTTAGGCCAAAATGTTTGTTCTAAGCAGGTTCCTATCCCCTCTGATAAAAGGCTTCTTTAATGTTTCCATGTCTTATTAAATGTCTCTCTATTCACTTTGATGAGAATGTAAAGGACAGTAAATGAATAAATATTTTATCCATTCTTTTGATGAAATATGTTAAAGGGGATAACCTAAGTCAAATTTCTTTTCTTTTCCTTCTTCTCTTTAAGTTATAAAGCACAAGTGGTTTACTGTATTAGAGACAACTGATAAATAGAAATGAGGAATTGGCTTCAACAGATCAGACCATTTGTATTAATGATGTCTAGTATCTTGACTCTGGCAGTGGCCAGTTGGACACATATCCATGATGTAAATGAGAGGAAGGCAGGAGGTATTTAATGCTCCCTGTGGACAACCAGATTAGTCCATGAATTACGAGAAGTTGTTATCCAGATTACCACTGTTATTGCTGGACATACACTTATCTCACAGCTTTAAAAATGCAACCACAAAAAAGCACTGCAGAGTTATTTTCTTCTCATTTCCAACATAGCTTTCATTTTTCTGCTACGAGATAAGCCACTAAGGTTCATTTAAGCTGCTTTAAAAAAAAAAAAATAAGCTTTGATTTCTCCAAAAGATGTAATTGCAAGCACAAAAATGTCCATGCATTTCTATGCCAGTCTGTGCCTAGAGTTGATCCACAACATTTCCATGTGTCATCTGTCCATGCAGCTGTGCTTTAGGTATCTCCTTCATATATGGTAATGTATAAAGCTGACAACAAATTACATCTGATGAAAACTGAAAGAGTGAAATATTCTTTCTATTCTTGGATTTAAGCTCATGGGAATGACCTCACCAGGAGAAAAAGTGTCACATTAAGACACGAGTACCTTCCTCCACAGCATGAAAGGAAAGAAATAGGCTGCAAGGATGAGTAGAAGGTTTAGGACTCTAACTAGGTAACATGAATACTTCATTGAAAATCAGCTACAGTCCTCAAGCTCTGGGAAACTTCTGTCATCAGTGTTTATCACATTGCTTGAGATGTCTTGAAGAAATTAATCCTGACTTGGTTTATTAATATTTTAGATTTTTTTATTTCATGATAAAGAATACAAGACAAACTTTAATTGCCTTACTTTTCTCAATCTAGGAAGTATCTTTCTATGTGTGTCAAAAATGTCACATTTAAATACTGAGTATAAATTGATTTACGATAACATCAAAATATGTGAGTTTTCCTTTTTTCTTGATCTTCTGAGTTCAACTTGTCTGCAGTAACCTTTTTAAAGTGTCCAAATATATATTTCTAAATAAAAATATTAAATACTTGTAATTATTATTATTATTATTATTATTATTATTATTGCATTTCAGACTGGTGAATATTCCAATTGGATATGGAGAGAAATAATGCCATCACAGAGTGCAATATTTGGAAATACTATTCCTATGACTGTTCATTTCCTAATATCCATATACTAGTTCCTTGAACAGCAGGAATCCTATGGTCCAACAGCACCAATACTTTGTTACAGTTTCTCAGTGCAGCAAAATGTCTTCAGAGAAATCTCATTCTGCGCAGATATGACATCATTCTCTAGTGATGATAAAAATAATTCAAATAAAGTAATTGTCTTTGCAGAGTCATTTGTTATGAAAAGCAAATTCCAATCAAATGTTTAATGAATGTTGGAACAAGGCATGGATCAGCAGAATGAGGCAAGACTGCCAAATATGCTTTTAGAGGGCTTAAAACATAATGGAGTCCAACCCTTTTGCACAGGCTTCCCGTTTTGATGTGTAAGTTGCTACAAGTTAAAGGTGAGTCCCCAGCTTTCAGTCATTACTCTCCAGACATTAGGCTGTGACTGTTCCAGGGAAAGGTTTCTCTGCTTATTATGTGTGCATGAAAGGAGCAAACTGTTTTTTCACTAAGAAAGAACAGCTGAGGATCAAGAGGTGAGATTATGTAACTGTACTGAACAATGCAAATGCTCATTTTCTGGAATGTATTACTTGAAATAAAATGCTGATGCCCCATATAGGCATTCTTTCCTAAGGAACACACTGTGACACAAAGATTTCATGCACACTGGCAATTAAATGGGGCCTGGTTACATTGCTGGGCTCTGGAATTCAGATATACATATCCTGCAACATGTTTTTGGATAGCCTCTGACAACTTTGACTTGTGCCAAGCAGCAGTGTCTCAAAAAATTCATTGGCTCGGTTCAGGAATTGGCAGGGGCCAGGGACCACTCCCAATAGATAGCTGAGATACATCCAACCCATTTTGACCTTGAGGAAGTGCACTGGATGTGGATCTCTCTATGAGAGAAAAAATCACATTCAGAGAAAGAACAGTTGAGTTGAGTTTGATTTAGTAATCTGGATGTGGCCATATAACAAAATTACGTCAAATGGGGAAAAAAATACTAAATAAGATTTTAATGACCTATTTGGAACAAAATTTTGGCAGGGGAGGATGGAATTAATGTATAATAAAATGAGATTTTTAAGAAACTGTATTTTAGTAGCCAACATATTTTTCAGTTTTTTAATTTAACTCAGGAGGTGGCTCTTTATTAAATGCTTAATTGCCCCACATAAAGTGAAACTGATTTTGCTTAAGGTTGATGATATTACTTAAGAAAAACCTATGCCACAGTATATGTAGTGATTACCAGCAGCAATGCAATCTTTTAAATTTTAGTATTGTCACACTGACTATCAGCCAGTTTTTTTATGATGCATAAGAAAAGAAAAAAAGGAAAGATCACATGGGTAATGACAAATCTGTCTATCTAGCTATGTTCCACTAGATTTATGTGTTTGAAATCCACTAACAATAACACAAGTAATTTTGGAACTCTACATAGAGTCTAACTTTGAGTAAAGCAGTTTATTGTGAGATACTCCCTCAACACAGGGGCAATGAGACCAGGCCTATATAAATAACTTAACAACCTTGGGAGTCCATCCATCTATAAAGCTGAAAGCAAGGATCAGTAGGTTAAACCTGAGGGTGTAGGAAGGAAGGATGCAGACTGATATTCTAAATGCTCTTTTGAAAGGGAGCAAGGGGAAGGATTACATTTCTCTTCTCAAGGCACCAAACAACAAGTAGCAGCAACTTGATAGGCTCCTATTTTTAATGCATAAAGATTTGAGTTCATCCTTTGTTGTTGATAATGAATTCCTATATATGTTTCTGTGTAGTAATAATATATGCTATATACCTGTGCATGCATGAACATATAAATCATATCAATATCTATTTTGAATGAATCAGAGAAAGGCTAGGGTTAGAAGGGACCTTGAAGATTATCTATTTCCAAATTCCTACCATGGTTTAGTGATGTTTCTGAACAGAAAATACTTGATTTGGCAATTAAACAGGTGTGAGAATCATTGTTGCAGACTCCTGGAGGTTGTGTGAACATCAGTTGCTGTGTTTTCACTCAGACACCAAATCCAATTAAAGTCACAGCTGGGAATTTGTTTGATATATTTTTTTCCCCTATGCATTTGTATCTCACACAATGCAAGTGTGCATAACAAGGGTACAAATGAGGCAGTCAAGAAAGGCGTGGGTTGAGCTATTGGCGTTTTGGGTTTTTTTTCTGTTTTAAATTAAAGTGGATACTGTGGGTCCAGAAATTCATGCAATGTATTTTATCCGCATGACAGAGCTTTCAGTTTAATCTATTTACAAAAGCATATCTGTGACAACTCCCTTACATAGATTTTTTTACCACAAAATCCCTCTTTAGGTCAATCCATATTTGTGTAAACTTCTAATTCTTATGTTCAGAAGACTGACGTCATCAAGGAGTTAAGAGCTATGCATTAACAGTTTTGTAATTATATGTTAAGAAGTCACACAGCCTTTCCTGACATTAAAATAAAATTCAATTGAAAAAATTGAAAATTGAATTTGCTGCCTCCACTTCTTCACATTATTTATCATGGGCAGTTAGCAGGTAAAAATAACATAGACATAGACATGTTATGTCTAGAAATATCAAAAGATGGACCTCAAAGAACTAAGTACCAGGACAGTGGAAATTATGGGTTATTGTGTGGTAATGATGGGTTATTAAAGGCATAGTGTAGTACAAAAGGACTGTAAACACAGATTATAAAATGAAAAGATATATTCAGTCTTTCTCTCTCTCCCCAAATAACCTTTAATAAATTGGTATATACAGTGACCCCTAGCATAATTAACCTGAATATCAGGAGTTGGCATAGATTTTTTTTTTTTCACAATATGAAATATCCAATTAAAACAGAAAACACTGCAACTAAATACTTGCAGCTAACAATTAAACAGAACAGAGGGACCTTATAAGCTGTTATGTTGAAAAGTAATAGACATTGACCATGCCATATGAGCACTGTTTAGTAATTTCTGTTCTTTGCATTTGGTTTATCCGTACATAGCATATTTTCAACCATCCTTAGTCCAACTACATCTAAGAAACATTCAGTGCTCAAGTCAGAAAAGCTATAAGTGATTGCTACAAGAATGATAATGCTTCATGTTGTCTTCAAGAAGAGTGCATATGTCAGTTTTTGCAAAACAAAAACAGCCTAACATGGACAAAATCAAATTACAGATAAAATTACAAATTTTGATAATCTCTCACAATTACAGATATTTGTGGATAATGAATATACTTAATATAGAAATCCCTGGAAGTCAAACTAAATCCAAGCATCTCTGTCCCCAAGCCACAAAGTTTTTCATATCTCTGAATCTTTTTGCTAGAATGAGACAAACAAGGAGTTAATGATTATGTTACCTGTCTTGTCTACACTTGACAATCACTTAAGACAGTGAATCCATAGCAATTTTTCAGAAGTTAGAATTTCAATAATGCAGTCTGAAGTTAGAGGGAAAAGTACTGAGAGGTTTTGTTAGATCAAATATCAGAGGAGGCCCCAAAGCTGCAGAGGTGTTGGCTCCTAACTCCTGTTTATTCACTCCCACTGAAATCACTGGGAGCAAAGTTCCATGGCTACAGTTATGGAACTAATGCTGGAAGAAAAACCTGCAATACTGGAGATCATGATTATTTTAAACCAATAATGCCTTGGTAGCTACTGATTCTTCTTTCCCTTCAGTTTTTCCAGGGAAGATGCTCTATGCTTTGAAGAAGCTGTTTTTAGAACAAAGGGTCCTGGGATTCACTGTCATGAGTTTTAACCCTAGTACTCAAGGCATCCTCCATGATTTTTGGGTAAATGACTTAACTTACCATGTCTTTCCATTAAACATATAAATGGATCTAACAGAAATTTAAAAAAATAAATAAAAACTGAACACTGTGAGCATCCAGCAACTAAAATTCCAAATCTTAAATTCTATGAAAGAGGAAGCTCTAAAGGTTGAGCTTTTGTTCTGATGCAAAAATTGTTTAGGTTTCTTTTGTTTGAATCATTTGAATAGGGAATATCTTCCACATTTATTCAAGAAAATATTTCTCTCTCCATTCCTTTTTTTTTCCCTTTCACTCACTCCCAAAACACTATAGCAACTGGAATGTATTTTTTTTCCAAGTGGCATTACTGTTTCCTTGATTACATCAACAGCTGCCTGTGATAACATAATTTGAAATTTTATGACAAATTTTATTTGTCATTTCAAGTCTTCATTTGAACAAAATTCTTGCTTGCACATTTGCAGCATATTTCTTGAATGTATGTAGGTTCTCTCACTACCAGACATTTAAAAGTTAACTTTCAGACAGTTATATCTAGATAAGTCACCCAAGGGATCCATTTATAGTCAATGGAGAGAAATTGGTACCTTCAAAGGGTGATTCATCTTTTCTATCTTAGGCATCTTTCTTAGGATGAAATTGTCCTCCAGAGGCCTCCATTTCATACCACTGGCTATAAAGACAGCTAAAGGTTAAAGCTGGGCAATTAACTTTTGGGTATCTAAGTGAGGTGCAATGAATTGCAAACATTTTATTTTGCAGTTGTCCATAAAGATGATGCTTCATGCCACCAAAATATACCAGGGCTAAAAGAGCCATGCATGGTTTTTCACACTGTAAATACTATTGGTAACACATTGCTCCTCAAACCACCAAAAATTGTATGAATGAATATCACATATAGGAAGAATTTTGGGTTTAAGCCTAATTAAAAAAAATTGTTTAGGGATAATGTGTGTGGACATTTAAGACCTTTTGAAATCTCTGTTATTTACTTTGTCAGATAATACTGGGTGTATTGAAGGACAAAGTGAAACATTAGGAAGAAAGGTGAATTTTCAGAGGGAGGAATAGAGGTTCCTGATGAATTAAAAATAAAGCAATTTTTGACTCATTATTGGTATATGTCATAAGTTCAACATCTTTTTGACAGGGCAGATATATGCAGGATGAAAGCTGACATCAAAAGAAAGATGCACCTGAAGAAAGAATGGTGAAAGGAATGGATCTGCCACAGCTTACAGTCCCAGTGGCTGCAGATGAGCTGCAGATGAGATGCATAAGTAGGTGGGCATTAAAAAAGGGTTGTGTTTCTTAGGCCAAAGCTGAACACTCTTCTGTCTACTGCATCATGTTCTCAGACCAGAAAAGGTGAGGAATTCTTGCTAAGCTGAAACGCTTCATGATGGAATGTATCTTGTCAAAGTACTTGTAGATCCTTTCTATGCTCTTTTTATTTATGTGATATGGTAAATTGGTTCCATTACTGTTGTTGAAAGTGATTCTCCTCATTTTCCAGCAGAGAGAGCACAGATTTCTATGCTGGGATGACGAGAGTAACTTCTAGTTTCATAATAGAGATATAGAGTTTTTATTTTTAATAAAAAATGCAGGAGAAAAGTGGAAGCTCTTCAGAACACTTTTTTTCCTTCTTCATGATGTTTTAGTGTATTCAGCATCAGGAGGTGTTTAAAGGCACATTACACAGATGTCAGCTATTTTCCTTGTTGTTAAAGTTGAGAGAGATTCAATGTATGGTGGCTAACTTCGCTAAGAATTTTCAGAATTGTATTCTGACGATAACAGATTCATTAGCTCACTTATAATTTTAGTTGTATAACCTGAGCTTACAAAACTGACTAAAGGAGAAGATTGTGGGTTATCATGTTTCATCAAAGGCAAATGTTCACTTGCAACCCATATACGATTCCTGCTTTACTGAAATGGTTGGCATTTAAGATGCCGTTGGCCATCTTGCTTAGTTAAGCAACCCTACAATGGAGCATTGCCTTCAGCTTACTCTGACAACCTTCCTGTATTCATTCCAAGTGGCAAGACCCTGCTTCCATCTCCTGTGTATTTCCTGCTTACACTTGAGTAATGACAGGAGTTCCTTGTTCATCCATGCAAGTCTCTTGCCCTCTTTGGTTTTTTGTTCATTGGGGTGCATCATTCTTGAGCCTGGAGGAAGTGATTCTTGATTTTCAACCAGGTGTCTTGGACCCCTCTTCCTATGGGATCTCTTGCCATGGGATTCTTCCAGGAAGATCCCTAAAGTGTTATCTGTCCTGAAATCCATGGTTGCAATCTTCCTTGCTGCCCTGCTTCTTCCTTGCCCATTGCTGAACTCCACAATCTCACGGTCACTGCGGCCAAGGCAGCACCTCAGCCTTCACATCTCTGAGAAGGCCTTCCCTGTTTGTCACTATGAGGAAATCATTCCTTGTAGGACCCTCCACTGTCTCTGTCAGGAAGCTGTCATCAATTTACAGGAGCTTCCTGGACTGTTTGTGCCCCGTTGTGTTACTTCTCCAGTAGATATCAGGATAGTTACATTTCTTCCCAAGAATCTGTGCCGGTGACTTTGAGGCTGCTTCAAGCTGCCTCTGGAATGCTTCCATTTTTTAACTTACTTTTTGTAAGTTAAAAAAGCATCAGTAGCATCAGTATCTGCTATAATAATTCTAAATGGAAATCAATTATGACAATGAGTCATTAAACTCAGTTACTATTTTACAAAGTCCCTTGCTAAACTTATTTTTACATTTTAAATAGGAAACTATTTGTTTACTATTAGCTGTTTAGGAGGGGTGTTTTGGCATTCAACTTTTGCCTTTATTTTCTAAATAGCTTACTTTTCAAAACTCAAGTAGTTGAGTCTTTTTATGATCCTCCATTGAAATCAACCTTCATTTGAAGCTTGTTTACTGAACTATGTGAAATGCTTTTAATACTAAATAGTAGCAATAAACAAAATGCAATTGTGAGAATAATTTGTTTACTCTCATTTCTCTGCCTTCACAGCTTAAATTTGTTTGTTTCCATTAAAATCGAAGATTTAGACTCATTTCCATCAGCAAAGGTTTGTGGCTTTCTCTTGTACCTCATAATTTTGACCCTCAGAATGCCTTGCAGTGAACTATCAAAGAAACACATCCATTCCTTTCTGCAGAAGCAGAATACCTCACATTCCCTTTGTAGCTGTTTCCAAGAGAGTGAGTAGTTTGAAATTTTTTGGCCAAGTTACAATGAAGTGCCACAAGAGTGTTGACAGATGCAGCTTCATGTGCCAGCATCTGGCTCTGATTCACAGTGGGATGATATAAACTGGGAATAATGGGTAGTTGTTTTGCCTCTGTGGGATGGTGTCAGGATTGCAAGCTGATAACATTCGCTTTGAGAGATCAATGTAATTTCAGAGTTTGACAAAATAGACAGGTTTTGGGGTGGGCTGGGGACAAGAGTCTTGTTAAAATGACTGGATATCCTCTTATAGTGGACATCCTCCCATAGTGGATATCCTCTCATAGCAGAATAGAAGTTTAAAGAAGGAATGTTTAACTCCAAATGACAGATAATGTTTATTGTAAGAATTGCACATTAATAAATTAGTTAGAAAACTTTTAAATAACTCAAACTTTTCAGTTTCTCATACATGTATTTAAAATTGCTGTTCATTAATTCTTTCCATTCAAAGTCTTTGAAAAATATTGAAAACTCTCCTGGGATATTACTAGAGAAATAAATATTTCTTTCATTCAATCATTGCCATTTATGCTATCCACAGAAACAAATGGGTTGGCAAGGGTTTCGTCATGTGAACAGTTTTTTTGGATAAACTGATGGACAATTTATTCATCATTTTGTCAAAAAAAAAAAAGGTAAGAAGAAGAATCCAGATGAATCTTTTCAAATTTTGGGGTACAATATTTCCCTCAGCAGGCAGTAAAAAAGTAAAAAGTTAAAAAATATCTGGCTTGGTTTTTTTCTCCTGTTGGGTACAGGGCTATTGAGTAGCTTGCACCAGAAAGCATCTCTCCATAGGAAAAAAATAAAATTCATTTAGCATTTACTCTCAAATGGGAAAGCCCATAACTCAGTTGAAAGTTTTTCATGCTGAATATCTTCAAACAGCAAACTAATAGTATGCTTTCTTATTTATTATGACTGATTTTTATTTATTTTTCTAATTGCACTTCATTAAATATATCCCCAGGGAAACTATATCAAAGTTGTCTCCATGTAAATGTAATGTAACAAGTTGAAATGTTACTCCCTGTCATTGAGATATCCATAACACATCCTAGACTAATCAAGTAGGAGTGACACTTAAAAATAGTTCAAGAGCCTAAAGCGTTTTTCTATCTGAACAGCGAAGGGCAAGTATTTAGTTCCAGAGCTACAGCCCACCCACAGCAAATACAGGCATTTTTACTTTCTAAAGTAGTCTTTATTGTTCTAGGTCTTTTTTGGGTTTGGGTTTTTTTTTTTTTTTCAGTAATATAGTCCATGATCTTTCAATATTGACGTACCTTCATGCAGTATTTCCATATTTTTTGGATATTATCATAATGATATTAAGTATAATAAGTATCATAATTGTAGTCTTGAAATTCTCTTGCCGTATTGTGTAATAACAGTAGTCCCTTCTCTTTGACAGAATATTTCTTGACAATGAGGAAGAGGCAAGCCTTGGAAGGAAATTGTAGACATGAAGGATTTTCAGTCTACACTTTCCAGGACCAAGCAGTCTGCCAGATTCTCCATGGATACTCATCACAATTTGCCTTAATTTCTTGACTCTTCATGTTTGTTTGGGGGGAGGGGGTGGAGGTAGGGGTGTAGGGGAGTGGTGTTTACGAGCATAAATGCAAAAGGTGAGGCTTCAATTATTATTTTAATGAGAAGGTGGAATGCCTGTTTTACCCTATGGGATACTCTCTTGCAATGTACACATGCCAGAAATCATGGTGAATTTTTCCAAGTCATATATTTTTTCAAGGTAAGTAAAATTGTCTACAACACATTGGCTTTCATATTGGCTTTGGGACTGGCTTTGAGACCCTGGCATGGAAACACACAATATACATTGATGAAAGGAATTGATATGGTCACATTCCTTTGCAGTCTAGCTGTGATTGGAAACAGTTATATAGTGACACAAGCTCTATAGGGCAATCATGTGCTTCAGTGCTAAGGTTTTAGAAAGTCTAAATTGTGAATAATACCACATCTCTGTTCTCACTGTCTTTGTCACAAATTAAGAAACTGTAAAATCATCCAGTAGTGAGTTGGGTGTACTGTGAAATGCAAGTGGTTTAACCAAACCCAGAACAGAGTAAAGGTATGCATGCAAAATAAACTTCTAAGTGATTAAAAAGAAAACAAAAATCACATCGAGTAAATAAAATGCCTGTGAGAAAAAAAAGTGCATCTCATGACTAAATACCCAAGCCATACTTATCACTCTTAATTCAGCATGCACAACAACAAGCTGAGGTGCCATGCAGAAACACAGACATGCAAAAATCCAGTTTCAGTAGTTGCAAAACAAAAAAGGCGTTTCATCAGAACAGCTTCTTGATCTGCCAGATTAGTGACTGGCAGGGAAAGCAGGGGAAGAGCAGGAAACAGACTTGTGGCACAAGGGGAATAAATAGAGTAGGTGCAGTTAACTTAGAGAATTGTGCGCTCAGTTGTGCTGAAAGAGTGACCAATTAGTGCCTGAAATCCCTCCACATGGGTGAGGATTTCAAATTCTCTAATGTCAAAAAAATAGTTATGAAAACAAGTTTCAAAATTTCTGCTAAAATAGAAACCTTTCTCCTACCAGTAAAAAATAAACTATGAATAAGAACATTAGAAATAGAACAAAATATAGGAATAGCAAACAAATTATCAAATACAAGGAATAGACTATATCCATTAAACTACATGTCAGTGACCTTCTGCATCAAAAATGCTATCTTGGACTTAAGAAATGCCAGTAGAGAAATAAAGGTAGCAGTCAGAACAAACATTTTTAAATAATCAAGCTTTCCACCTAAGGTCTTAATCTTTATAAGGAAAACTTGGAAAATAAATCCTGAAAGAAATGCATATTAATTCTTTCTTTACAGGCAGACAAAAGGAGCAGAAAACAGTTTGGGCAGAGTGATTTGTTAATGCTGAGACAGCATTGCCTCAGCTGAGCAACTGTAGTGCAGGGACAAATAGGACCAGAAAATCTATGAAAGGTAGCTCAGCAGTTCCTCTGAGATATTGTCACTTATAATGAGCATGTTAGACAGAAAAAAAAAATATTTTTAAAGCCCATTTCTCAAGAGATAAAATCAGAAAGCAGTTTTTTATACCATGTGCAGGAAGTCTCAAGTGGTCTACCTCTAAAATGTATCAATAGAACCCAACTGGTCACTGTTGCAGTCATGATATTCATGTGAAGAACTTCTGGATTAGAAAAAATGAGTTTATGGCTAAAACTCCACTGTTATCATTGTAAAGTGCTGAGACCCTCAAATACTTCTCTTTCATAAAAAATAAAATATTTCTCAGAATTTATTTGATATTGATACAATTATTGTGGTTTAAAGGAGGACATCTGTGAAATTTGTCAGTATCAAGGACAAATACTTGCAGAAAAAAAATCAGCAAAACAAGAAAGCCAGCTAATGCTGCATGAAGCATCTTGGAAAAATTCTTCCTTATATGGCTTCCTTGAATTCCCTGTGTACATTTAATTCATTTTTTATAGCTAAGACTGCATTGTCTTGATGAAATATTGAGCAGGTGAAGAATATTTCAGCTTCATTTTTTAAAATCAACATAAGAGCATTAACTGACCTCCTACAGTGTGTGACTAACAAAATGCATTATTTGATATAATTTAAGAAATGTATTTATTAATGAAACCTAAGGAACTGAGTTTTGCTTTTAATGTTAATTTTTTGAGCACTATAAAATGCCATATTAAGTGAACTACTTTTCTATAAATTCTTGCTCAATATTTATATTTTAACAAACTCTTAATCTTATAGTATTGTATATGATTTTTTTTTATAATAGAAACATTGCAAAAGTTCTTTGTAAGAAAAAATGCTGAATGATATTACTAATAGTGACATTATAAATTTTGCCTAAGGAATCAGAAATTTATGTTTGATGAAATCAATCACAGAAAATCCCAATATGTCTATGCAAAGGAATTTTCTACGATAACATTTTTTTCTCCTTCACAAATGGTAATGTTACTATTGATAGAAATTATTCCTTGTTTGAAAAAATTGCAGTGCCAAGGTGACTATAATTTAATTCCCCAGCTGATTTGCACTCAGAATTCTTTGTTTTGACAAAGTTCTTTACCATAAAATATATAGACAGATAAAAGGATAAAATATACCAGATTGTAAATCTAATTGGATATTAGGGTTATTAAAGGGTGTTTTCCCCCCATTTATGTATTCAGTAGAATGAATTACAGTAATACTTCTGTTCACAAAAAGACAGTGTAAAATGAGCACTTTGCCTGAGAAAGACAGTAATAAACTAATCGAGGTACTGTTTGGTGGCACTCTTCTCAATGATTTCCATAAATCAAGGCTGATCATACCTGACCTCTACTTTGCTTCTCAGAAATACTGACTAGTGTTTCTGGAGTCTGGCGGTTCCAGCATTGCTTTTCACAGCTGGTGGGTTCAATGAAGCTTGTTTTCAAGGCAATACTTTTTTTTTTTTTCCTCCTCCCACAAAAACACATCTGGCTTCAGCACAACAACCATCTGCAACATTTAACTTCAGGGCTCAACAAGTGACTTGAGAGGTCAAAAAGCAGTCACTTTACAGGCAGAGCCCCAGGTGGACTTTGGGAGATGTTAAGGGGTAGTCCTTTTCCACTTCACCTAAAAATTAGATTATTAAAGATACTTTAAGACTTATTTCCACTTTTTGGAGCCTAAACCTATCACCCTAATTTTTCATTCACTTGCAAGGCCATCTGATCACCTTAATGGTGACACCTTAATGTCTTTCAGCTCTTTAACCTGTGGTTTCTAACCACAAGTCTGTCATAGCACACTGGTATGACACAAGACAAACACTGGAAGAGAAGAGTCATGTCTTTTATCTTCTGAAATTCAAGTCACTACACACTTCATTCTCTATTTCACTGCTCCCCTTCATGGATTTCCCAGTTTCCTTGTAGCTGGAAAAGTAAACACTGAAAAACCCCAAACTGTCCCTTCTTACAGCACATCTGCTTTGCCTCAGGGGAGGGTCAAACAGGCCAGGGAGCCTTCTGGGAAAAAAAGGTCTTTTTTGCTGCTGCTCGTAAATGTCAGGAGAACTGTAAAAAAGATCTTGAAGATCTCCATGAAAGTCTTTCTTGTGTGAATTGTTGATGGTACAGCTGTGTAAATCCAGAAACTAGGTCATTCACATTGGTACAGGGTGTTATTTTTTAAATCAAAGCATGACAGAGTCTCTGGAAGTTTTGCCTAATTATTCTCCCCCCCCGAGCCTAAAGCAGTCCCTCTGTTTATAACTGGTTGTCTTTAGATGTCCTAGAGGAGATGCAGTACTTTACTCTCTTTTAATGGAACCCTCTCCCTACTGAATCCCAAGTTTGTTCATTTTCTCTCCACAAAAAGCTGTGTCCTCTCTCTCTCCCCTTTGAGAGAGTCTTTCTTTCTCACTGCATCCTTAGGATTTACCAGCTCTGTCTGAGCCTGGGCATATCAAGAGAGGATGTAAGCCACAAGGCAGAGATAAGAAAAAAAAACAACCAATTCAGGGATGGACCAGTGGAGAGTTTGTTGAGCAAATAACTGAACAAACAAAGCTGGTAATGTTCAGAGTGTCCTTAAATATTCTCTCCTTAACTCTTTTCATGAATATTATTGCTTTGCATTCCTAGGGTTATGTCTCTTTACAGTATGTCTAGACTTCAGCAGGAAGAGTATTTATTAAATAAGGTCAGGGTCGAATGACTTAATATTATGAGATGATGCTCAGTCATCATCAGTAGCTCTATCTTCTTTTTTTGGTGAGGAATTAGGTGTCTGTGTTAGAACAGATTAGCATGGAGATGTGAGAAGGGAGAAGATAAAGCACAGAAATGGTGGATCAGCTAAGGTATTTTAAATACTAACAACAATGGAAGTTTTATTTTTGAAGCATTTTGGAGTTAAGCCTTGCTATTTGTGGAGAAAAAAACCTAATAAACCAAATAATAAGCTATTATCAATAAGCTCCTTCCTCCTGTGTCTCAGCCAAAAGAAGCATGGAAAATTTCAGCAATTTCTACAGCCTTCCATTGACTCTACTTTTAACATAACCTTGATTTAAATTCATGCATTGTAGACAGAAAATTAGAAGCTTTAAGAAAACAGCCATTAGCTCTTATGCTTTATTAAAACTATTTGCACACTCTTTGTTGCTCTTGTGAGACCTTTCAATAATAAAAAACCACACTTTTAATACATAAAGGAGCAAAAACTTGCAGGGAAACAGAATATTAGAACAGAGTTCAATGATATAGGAAAGTACCTGGATAAAAATCCCCTTGTGCAAACATGTCAATCACATAGCGACAGAATGCATATTGATCTAACAGAGCAAAAAGGAAAAGAAGAGTAATGAAGAAAATAAATTTAGAATGTCAGTTGTACTTAACACTGAAGATAAAGTTTGGCAGTGCAAAGACATCTCAGTAGTTTTTCATGGGTAGTCTTACTTACTATATATTTGTGGTTTTTTTCCTGACCTTCAAGTGGTGCTTATGTTTAGAAAGTGACAATTTGTTGTCCAGATCTAATTCAAAACCTCTAGCCAAGAAGTGCAGAGCTGCCAGTGTCCCAGAGCTACCACTTCTTTTGCTGGGCCAGCTTTTCTTGGCATATATCCTAACCCCTTACACAAGTACTGTGCAAACTGCTGCCTGGCCACAGGTATCATAGAATTTTCATCATTCATGAAGACCAATTTCACAGAAAGCTGATAGAAAATTTTTTAAAAAAGGTTTTGTATCACTGTATTTTGTTAATATGTTTTTACCCATAAAATAAATATGTATATTTAGTGGCTCATCATATAAAGAGAACTTTGTGTACTTACACTCCTGCAGCAATAAGATTTTTCTACAGAATTCTACTTTTTCACTACAGAATAATTCACCAAACACTAATTTTTACAAATACATATGTATATATTAAATTTGTGTGTGTGTATATATATATATAAATATATATACACTATTTGTTAAAACTACACTATTCAGAAATTAAGGTTTCTGAATTTAAGTAAAATGCTGATTCCAGAATTGTTGATTGTCTATTGATTTCTCCTGTACATAAGCAGAGCTGAAGAGCTTAATAAAATTTTCTAACATTAAGAATGATGAGGAAAAGTTATCAGCTTTAACTGGGCACAAAAGAAGTTCAATATTGCTGTATTCTTCAGCAGGTCAGAAAAAAAATCTTGTTTCCCCAATGGACTCCAATGGGCCTTTGCTTTGAAAGCTAATGTTGATGTCTAAATGTCAGGTGTGGTTAGCTAAGTCAGTTCTCAGTTGTCCTTGAGTGAAGCATACTCATCCATGTGTCCAAGACTCTTCTAGCACAGGTCCTACACTGTAGAAGTTTCATCTCTTCCTGTCTCCACCTCCTGTGGCATCTCTGTCCTACTCACTTACAAAGCCACTTGCTTTCCCTGTTGCCAACTCCAAAATAAAATTACGTGTCTTTGGACTAATTAAAGTTGTTAAAATGGCACTGTTTTTACATGTAAATGCAAACTGTAATTCCCAAGTATGTGACACTTGTTATATAATTGACTTTCATGCATAGGTCACTGCTACATCAGTATCATTTGATGCTGAGGCATTTGTGTGACTGCTGCTCTGTCATGTTGGCTGATACAGCAGTCCTTGGATGAAGAGCTACTGCTTTCAAGTCATTATTTCCTTTGCAGATGTAGCAATTAGGAAAAGGTTTACCAACTCAACAAATATCCAAATACTTTTTCTAGTTGATAGAAGCCTAGGCAGCTGCTTTGTGTTAGTGAGATGGCAAGGGCCATCCTAGTAAGGATTGCAGAGCCTGGGGCAAAACTTTCAGCAGTACTCAGGGCAGTGGCTGTAAACATTGCCTTTAAAACCTCTAATGAATATTCATAATAATTTTTACTTTCATATTTGGGAATTCAAATTTATAATTCTGGCTGACTCCAACTTTGCATTCCTTCCTTAAGGCTACAGTATCTGCCCTAAGTCTATATGATACTTCTAAAAAATCCCCCAAAAACATGTTTGAGAAAACACATACAGATGTGTGTTCTCAAGCACACCTAAAGCTACAGAAACCAGCAAAGTGTTTGCACTGAGTTTGACACTGTTGCAATAGTGCCTCAGAGAATATTTATAAATAAAATGGAGCAATGCCAACACTTTAGCCCAGAAAGCAAATGGCAGGGCACAGTTCTTGCACAAAAACTTTCTTTTCTTAGTTCTCTTTTGCCAAAACAAGCTGCCCCTATCCTTGCTGCCTGTTGGGAAGATTTCCATCTGGAGCATTGTAGAAAAGACTGCTAGAGGATACAGAACAAAACTGTGGCAGGGGACAACACACTACATGGACAGACCCAGGGCAGAGCACAAGCCTGTGCTGATTCTATCTGAGTTGTGATATAGACATAGCCTGAGGCCCTAGAATCACACCATTTCATTGATATTAAACTAATCTATTCTTTAAACTATTCTTCTGGTTTATTGATTTTGCTAATCTGCTTTTTGTTGTTGTGGGGCCTTTATTCTTTTGAGTTTGTTTTGTTTTGTGGAAATGTAATTTCAAAATTACGTTCAAATTTTTTAAAAAGCCTTAATCTTGATTGTACCTCAGAAATAAGATTTTGTATCAATTTGTCCTCATATCTTTAGCAACTCTACTTAAAAAAATGAGATGTATAAAAGAAATTGAAAGCAGAATGTAAAACTCTCAATAACAAAAATATAACTTCCATATGGTATAGCAAGGTGTACTATAACATCCTATTTAAGTTCATAGGAATGCTACCAATCAGTAAAGATTGAAATCTAAGGAATTTTAAATTAATATGATTTTTCAAGTGCCTCTTCATGGCTAAAACTCCACTTTAATCTAAAGTCCCTTATTAAAAGGAGAATTTCACACTTTTCACCTATAACTCTGTAATGATGACACAAATATTCATATTAGTACTAAAAGATCACGTCAAAATTTTGGACTAGATTCTTAATGATAAAAATACTCATAGATGTTTTTGTCATTGGACTTAATGTGATTTACCCAGGAAGATGACCTGTCTTTTTTAATTTTAATTTCAGTATGAAATGATGCAACAACTCTTTTGTGATCACTGCTATATTTTTTTACATTGTTTCAGATAAACTGGCAGAGCTACTCCCTCGAGCAAGTAAAAGTAAAGATTGCAGGATCAAGAAATCTCTGCAAAACTGCATTGATTTAAAAATTATGCTCACCTTGGGTCACAGTGGGACTGAAATCTAAAAATGAATTTTTTTATAGTGTCCAGCTGGGCAGCAATGGTTTATGGTGGGAAAAGGAAGCACACCAGTAGGAAATGCAGTTTTCACCAGATATGCGTAACCCTGTCTCCAGTGATAAAGGCAGTTGAAGAGGCTCCTTACTTCCTCTACTCCATCTGCTTATTCTCATTTTCACCTGCTGGGATTCCATGCACAGTTGCTGGGTCACACTCCAAAGCAGACTTGCAAAGTGGTCTGTTAATGTTTGATGTCAAGATGGATCATTTAGCTAATATTTATCAGCTTAAGTTTTTGGGAATGCCACAAAAAACCCCAACAAACAAAAAAGCCACCATGATTCTATTGGTCTCTGTAATCTTTGATCCCTACTTAAAATATTTTGTTGTCATCTGAACAGCATTTCTTTTTGAGGGCTTTATCCTGAACAGTATGGAGCAGACCCCACTGTGCACTGAAACTCTGCCAGAGCAAACAAAAAGTTGAAAGATATTTTCACCTCCCAAGCGAACTGAACGATTTGCTGAACTTTGTCCTTGGTCACAGCAATCAGTGTGATAGATGCTGCTTTGATTCCACGCCTCAAAGGTCCCAATATTTCAAGTGAAGGACAAAATTAACTGGAATACAAATAAATGTTAAAAAATACTAGTTCAGTGCACTATGCATGTCAGAAAGTGGGCTATGTCTCATAATCAGTTTTCTAGAAAAGTATAATTTAGACAACTCCTAAGGGGTCCAGAGCAATGGTTATGAAAGTCTGAGAGAATCAGATCAGGCAGACTCAGATATCCAGGCAGGGACAGCTTTTCTGATGTTCAGGCACAGCAATTTATCTGTGGTTAACAGCTGAAAGGATCAGATAGGTGCACTATGCAACACTGAGCTGCCGCTTTCAATGTCAGAATAATCCCGTGGCTGCAGTGTGGCAGTTCATATAGAAAGCCAGGTCCTGCTGCCTTCATTCATACAAAATTGTACTTAGTGCCATGGCAATGCCACAGGGAAATCAGGGAGCCAGTCTGTGCAACCTGGGAGTAGACGAACCCAGGATTACTCTGACAAAGTGGAGCACATAGTTAACACCTTGTTAACTATATGTTTTTGATGCACGTTGATTCTTTGTTTCATGACTTAATTTCTTCCTCACACTAGAATAATAGCATTTCTTTCCTTTTTGGAATAAATTTGGAAGCTGTTCACATTAAGTTATGTCAGGCATGTATGGCACTATGTTGTACAATACCTGACAACACGACTGCCTCGTACAAGAGGATGTTAGATAAATTATTACATTCCCTTTATGCTGTTGCTACTTTCATTATGGTTACAGAGGACATACGCAGATGTAGAAACAAACCTAAATTCCCAATAGGTTATTGGACAGTCTGAATTTTCAAAAATAACTCTGGTTGCAATCTACTACATTAGATGCTACTGAGCAAATCCACAAAGCCTCAGACCTATCTGAAGAGAAATTGGTCCTTGGTAAAGAAGGATTTAAATTAAAATGAAATTTTAGCCATGACAAACTTCTAGAACCTTCTGATTATATACATTAAACATATATTATTTTCTGTAATCATGTCCTAGCAGTGTGAGGTTCATATGGAATTTATTTGTACTGCACTTTTGTTTTTCATGGGTGCACTTTGGTCCTTGACAGATTTAACTCCATTCTCTCTCTTTCTTCCCTAATACCTTTTTAGGATCTTCATCTGTTTCCTCCTCATTTTGTTTACCTTTCTTGTCCGATTTAGTTACAGTCTGAAGAGCTTTCTCTTCCTTAACTTTCGTTTTGGCCTTTATTAGCCCAGTTTCTGTTGTTTTTGTCTCTGCCTGCTTGACCTTCTCTGTCGTCATCTTTGCTTCTCCTTTTCCATCCTTCACTTCCTTTTTAACTTTTGCTTCCACTTTAGTGCTCTTTACTTTCTTCTCCTCTGTAGGTAATAAAGAATAAGATTGCAGTGTCATTCTCTGCCCCCAACGTAACACTCAGTGCCATTTACTTTATACTGCACTATTAATAATGAGCATTTCTTCATTATTAACAGCTTGGTAAGATCTGATGAAAACTATAATCCCCTCAAACCAGGCAGAATTAAACAGAAATATGAGATCCAAAGAGGTTTTATCTTCAGTGCTATACCACGAACTTGGCTGATGCTAAATATAATAGGATATACCAAATAATATTGAGTGTTCCTAACATGATAGGTTTAATGGTATAAACTAGGGAGAAAGATATCGGTCATTAAGCAAACAAATATGGAGCAAACAAATATCTGTACAAGTTTAGACTTCAGAGTTAAACTCTGTTGTAGACTGGAAAAATAGTGTGTGGTTATTTTTAAGGATTGCTTTCATGAGTTGATTCTAGATCTCAGTCCAAGAAGTTTTGAGTTTTTGAGTCTGACTCTACACCAGTTCTTGGGGCTGAAAGTGTCTGAGACCAATCCATGAGATGCCCTTCAGCAGAGTGAGGAGACCTCTAAGGAGAATTACCATTGATACTGTAAATATCAGTACCTGAAGCTACACAGAACTTGGTGAGACTCAAAGCATTCTTTCTGCTTTTCTGTGTCAGCAACTTTTTTTCACCCGAGACATGCATGCTCCCACTATGTGTGTCTCTAGTTCACCCCAGTGGAAAATCCAATAGTAGTATAAACTACCACTGAATATGTTTTAAATTAACCTGATTAGTGCAAAGTTCATACTCCTGTTTTCTTCACAGATCTAAATGTCTCCATCTTTGAGGCAAAACTTGTATGCTACCAAATTTATGTTTTCTGTAAGGCTCTAGAATTCTATTTCTGTTAAATCACTGAGATAACTAAACTGATTTTATCAATGTGTAAACTGGAATATCTAGCTATTGCAGAATTCAGACATTTATATAAGAGCATTACTGCTCCCAGACAAAACCAGGTATTGCTGGCTAATGGAGAATTGATTTCCTTAATTAATTATAGTGAAAATGTATGTCAGATCACTTGCAGATAGGCTTAGTTGTTTTTCAGCGAAATGGTGGTTCATACTTTTATTCTCAGTTTGAAATTGCAACAGATTTTGAAAAGGATCAAGCATAGAATTAACCCCTGGATATTCTACAGACATTTTAATTCTAATTATATATTAATTTCATTTTAGTTTAATGTAGCTGATTTCTCACATACATTTACAATCTCTGCTTGAATAAAATAAAGTTTATGCATTTCAATGTCAATTCAGCTTAAAAAACTGTAGTATAGATAAATAAATACCTTTTGGAGGAGGTTTCTTTTCAGCTTTTTCATGTCTTTCAGGTGCATCTTTTTGAGTTACTAGAAATGAGAACAACAAAATCTCACAAAGAACAAGAAAATATTGCCAAAACACAATATCATCACTGGAAATTTCACATTTCCTTATGGTTCCTGTTTTTCAGTTTTCAAAATTGTTTTCAGATTCTTATAGTGGGGTAAAAAACTTCAAAATATCTGTTGAGGTTCCCTTACCAGAAGACAAGTGAGTCACACGGATCTGAAGATTCCTAGGGAATGTTTTTACTACATATTCCAGACGAAACACACTTGCTCATGTCAAGTGCTGAGCAGACACGGACTTGGCCTTGTGCTACAGCCAACAGGAAGCATGTGGCTGCATTTGTCTTACACAAAGGTGTTTTTCTTAGCTTGGGCTCATTGTCGACAAACACAGCCATAAGTCTGGTGTTCACTTCAGAGCTCAGCTTGAGTGAGTTCATGTCTGCATCAGATACACTGTGTAAACACATGCACACACACGACTGTGTTCCAGAAAGGCTGCCAAAATTTTATGCAGACCTCTATCTTTGCCCTCCTGGTCACCATCCAGACAGAATACCAGAACAAACCAGCCTTGAGAATTAATTATGCTTCTTTCAACTGATAACTACATAATAGCAATCCTCTCTAACAGAATTCCATCCTGGAATTCCAGCCTGTATGAGACATGATTGATATTTAGACTTGGTTTTATTTTTTTAAGATGGTTTTACATGATGTGTTTAAAAAACACTCATATCACTGAGCCTTTCTGGAGCTTTTATCAGAGTCTGAAGGATTACCTTGAGTCTTTGTAATGAGCATGAAGAAAACCTGCTGACTGTGTGGGAAGTAGCCACACAGTTTTCAGTATGTCCATTCCCCAGAGCTGGCCAGAATCTGAACAGTTTCATTTCCTAGGGACTGCAAGTGGTTGAAGCAGCCCCTCAGCACTGCTGGTAGCTAATCCAGTTTAGAGCAGACCCCTGAGAAAAGGGAGATGGGCCTGGCAATGGAAAGCTCATCAACACAGTGCTGGCAAAAATGCACCTTTGGACATGCTGAGGAAAACTGTCCTCATGCCCTGATGCCACGGGGGCTCACGGCAGGGAAACTACCCAAGAGAGGGCAGCATGGCTAAGTCACACTGCAGCCACAAAGCTCTGCAGCTACAGTGTCCAAATTCTTCATAAAATTTTCCAGCCAGTGACTGGAGTCGTGGCTGTTATTAAACACATTAAGGCTCTGAGTGATTATTTGGTTAGCTAGCAGAAGATAAATGGGTAAAGAGGCTGGCTGCTTATTAGGACTATCTCAGTGATTCTTGGAAGTTATTTGCTTTTCAAATCAACACAGACACTATGGGCATTTATTTTCTCAGGCTTACTTCAGCATGATTTCATTTTATGAAAAAAATTCCCACACTTTTAAGCTATACACTGAAAGTAGAAAAAATTGAACAATATCCCTGTAAAAGGGAAACTGGACAATGGCTACCCTTCAAAGGGCTTTAAGGCTTTAAATCTTCATTCTGCTTCCTTTCTTTATTTTTTTCTCCACTTTTACTTTCTGTTTTGCATTTCTCCTATGGTCAACTCAAAAAAAAAAAGGGCAATTTGTATATTTGTATCCATGTTGTCTGAACGTATGGAGAAATATCTAACCTCAGAGGAAGACATTCAAATGCCAAGCAATAATAAATGTTAGTCTTTAAAAAATGGCATAATAGGGCAAGGTGATTGGATTTTTAAATTTCCCTGTCCAAACCATAACCAAAGATGGAATTATCAGTCAAAAGAATAGTGAAAATCACCCCTCACACACCCATGATATTGCTTCAGAATATATATGATAATTATTAGATATGTAAATCTTAACCAAAGCCACTGCTGCCATAGAAGACTGTGCCAATCATATACTGAAATTAAAATATTATTGAAAAAAATAAAGGCAAGAAAGTGAAATTCTATTTTTGGGTATGATGGAAGACCCAGATTGAGTGATAGTAAATACTCTTGCATTAGGTCTGCATCAGGTTGAAAACTAATACACAAGAGAAAACCTTCTTTGCAGGCAAATTACTGAATCCCTTTGTGGAGAAAAAGACATCATGGTATGCAAAGAAAATAGCATATGTTTCATACTTTAGCTGTGTAAGAATGATTTGCAATAAACTCTGTGCATCAAAACAGGAGAGCAAAGCAAAAAAAAAAAAATGCTGAGCAAGACTTCACTAGGGCTGATCAAGACCTGCTCAAGCAAAAGAGACAACACCCAAAAGTGTTCAACATGAAGACCTTTGTACTTTAAATACTTATCTCCACACTCTCCCAGGATGTCAAGCACTGAAATTGTACAACTTTTAATAATGATCCTCCATACCTTTAGGTAGCACTTTCTTTTCTTGTTTTTCTGGCTTTTCAGGTTTCTCTTTGTGAACAGCTAGAAGTAAAACCAATAATCTTAATGGTCATTAAAAAAAAAAAAAAAAAAAAGTTGCATTTGAATGAGAAAAAGGGTCAAGAAACACAACTAGGCACCATGGTCATGCATGCAAAGAATGAGACAGATTGATTCAGCTGCTGCTGTTTGTTGTTGATGCCAAAACATGGAATTGGAACTTTCAAAAACTCATCTGGCGTCACTGAAGTCTTTGCCATTGGCTGGAGGAGCAGCAGCCTTTCTAGGGCCAGTAATCCCACAAAAGAAGATAGTCAAGAAGAGTCATACTTATGTATATTGGGTTTTTTTATTTCTTTAATATATTTATATCCTGTAATTTATTGCTTTATTTTGGTTTATGGTTATTTTTTAGCTTTCTTGTTTAGTACTTTGGTTAGTTTCTGAAGGATTTTCTGAACTCCACGGAACAACTAAGAGTTTTTCCAGCTATGAATGACTAAGCACTATAATTAATTACAAACCTAATTGCAGTGACATTATAACTAATGTTCTTTGGGGGCTTTTTGTTTGCTTTTAATTTCCACCTTACAAATTGAAATTAACTGCTCTGTAGTTCCTAGATTTCTGGCTCAGGTTTCAGAATACACCCGAGTGGTGTGGTAGTCACTGAGTAGTGGGTAATCTGAAACATTCTCCTCTGTGGGTTCTGATTTGCTAAATTTTTGGGATTAAAGTGTGCACATCACACTTGGTTGTGAAGAACTGGGGTGTGCATGGGCTGATGTGCCCTCAGGTGATCTACAGGGATCATGTGTGGGAAAACACGCAGTTCCTTATTTGAGTACAGTGTATGAGATTATCCTAGGAACACAAAAATGTATGCACAAGCATGGAGCTGGTGTTAAAAAGAAAGTAAGAATTGGGGAAGATAAAACAGTGCTAGATAGTTATTTACGGCAAGTAACTACTGAAAGAACTGGTCCTGGCCTACTCAGTGGCTATGCAATGGCCCTATGCAGTATTTTATTTAAAATGCTTTTTTTTCCACATGGCCTTCCTGATTACCTCTGTGAAAGGACTGTCAGGTGCCTTTTTCTTGGATGACCATAGTCTCTTAGCAACCATTCTTATTGCAAGTGTTGGAAATACTCAGTGATTATCATAAGATTACACTAATCCAGAGTACAAAATATATTATTTCCTTCCCCAGAGACCCCAAAACAACAAAAAACATGCAGAAGGAATATTAAATGCTACTTAGTGTGTAAGACTGCAAACTTTTTTATTATTTCATTCTTTTTATTCATAATATTTTGTAACTTTTTTTCTCAATTCAAAGGGAAAGTGGAAATTGAATAGAGAATTAGATTTAGGGTACCTTCTAATGTAAAATAAATAATTACCTGCATGCCTTTCCTTTTTTTCAGGTTTTTCTTGCCTTTCCAGTTTGTCTTTACTTGTCACTAAGAAAGAAAGAGTTATATATATATATATATATATATTTAAAACATTTTCACCAAGATAAGCCTTAGGATACTAAGTGGCAGTGTGCTACTGCTGAGCTGCCCCGTGCATGTTTTTACAGCGTACATCATACTGCAGGGGTGAGGGCAGCCAGCTCTGGCTAACGAGTTACTGCCATGGTAACATGCCTCAGCTGTTTTCTTCATAACATCATCTCTTGCAGTTGTCTGTCAGTTCCAGAAGAATTCCAGAAAACTGTCGGTTACTAAGGCACAGCTCACAGTAAATGCTGCTGCCTGTGATAGGAAGAGGGCTTCACCTTGGCCACCCCATACTCTGTCAGACATAGGTTGTAAAAACCCTGGAATCAATCTCAAAGCAGAAGAGAATCACATGTGCAAATGATACATCTGTGACTTGCCAGCTGGCTTAAAATGGATAACTAGTAATGGATATGTATGGTTAGTAATGGATAGAGATAGCTAGTCATGGACACCAGCTGAGATCAGTCCCTGGCAATGACGATCCCAGAACCATAATTAGATATCCAGTATGTGCAAAGTAAAACTAACATGATGACAGTGGAAACTGCATTATGCTATCCACTCATTCACAGAACATTTTCCACTCACTTTTCTTAGGATTTTACACCATAATATTTCAGAAAATGAAAAATAATCATGTAGGTTTTAGAGCACTTCTGAAAGAATAGCTGCAAAAATGCAAGCTTAGCTTAAGTCTAACTCCTGTGCAGATTTCATCCAAGTTTAGTAAAACTCCTTTTGTCTAACATGAGGAGATAAGAAACTCCTTTTACAGTACCATGAATTCCATATGTAACTGGATGCAAAAGAAGAGTGGTTGGCAATATTCAGGCTTCCACATTTTTAAGCAGTATAGTGATAAAATACTTGAGAATATGGCTAACATCTCTGACTGAGACACTGCTAAGTGACTGAGACACTTCTAATTACTGTCTGTGTCATTAAATAACTTTCTTAAAGTTCATCCCAGAAGTTGATTATAGATTAGAATAGGATGCTATTTATACCCTCCATTATCTTGATCTTGAAAAGGCAATGTATTTAATGTAGAAAATAAGCAGCAAAAATACAGGGATGCAGTCTCTACAGTCTCCCAGTCACAGTATAATGAAATGGACCTTAGAAAGGCACACATTCATAGTCTTAGTTTTGAAATTTAATGTACAGCCTGAAAATAATGTTTAATAGCACTGTGAATACAGAGAATCTCTATACACAGTAGTATTTCCGTAGCAGTTTTGGCAATAGTTCACTAAATAAAACTAATAGTTGACTTCAAGAAAAAATACCACTAGGTAGACAGAATATTAATAGGATTTATGACAAGCTAAGGCAGTATAATTGTAATTTTTTTTTTCATTGGCTATCTGAGTTTGGCTGGGATAATCTTTTTCTTGTTCTAAGAAACTTAATAAAACATTAAATATTGTTCTCCTGTGAAATCCAGTTGAAGAGTTCCACAGGTTTTCCATATTATAACTTCTTTATATTATAGAAGTCTTAAAGATAAATTCATGTTTTAGTATGGGACATTATTGCTTTTGCTTTGTCATTTTTCCAAACCCCAGAAAAAATTTCCCATGTTATCACCGTTCTATTTTCTACTAATATTCATTCTAAGAGACACCTGAATTTATATGCTTGCCATTAACTTCTAAAATCAGTCTTGTTAGATCAAGGCGCTTTGAATTACTTATATGAAATGGAAAAGCTCCATCAGAGACTGTTAGAAAGGCCTAGTCAAGCACATATTTCAGGAGGTTCACCTTCACTTGAGTTCTTGGCCTGAATAAGTCTGCTGTGGCTGGATATTTGGTCTTCCCTTTTCTTTTTTTTGGTAATTTGTTATGATCATTGGCCTGTTTGTTCTTCCAGAATATTTTTCTTCCTCCAGCCCAAGATTTCATTAGCCATAAGTTATTGCAAAGGACATATTCTCAGAAGAATTCAGTGTTTTGACAAGTATGTGCAATCCACCAAAATTCCATTTTGCTAAAGTATCCTCACAAAAAGTAAACTAGATGGTGGCTATTGTAACCCAGAGCTAACTCATGAGTTGTGGGTGGAGAGTAAGCAGTATCCTGATTCTGACTCCTACAACAGATCTATAATTTGTTGTTGGCATACACCACCAGGAAATCATTAAATTCTCTCTAAAACCTCTCCACAGTGTCTCTGAAATTAATCTGGAGGAAGTATTTTGTCCTTTTTTTCTTTGTTTTTTTTTTCCTTTTTGTCTCTATTTTAAGAAGGTTTCCAAAGCAGAATGTCTACATGGACCATTTCCAGTATGTTATAATTTACTAGTTACATTTTGGTGCAAAATATTCTCAAGGGCAAATAATATTCTTGGATTTATTCAAGAAGAATATAAAGGACACCAATTTGTGCTCTAGGTACTTTTTACATAACTTACTAGTAAAGACTTAATAATTAATATATGAATGTATTTTCAGTTTTCTGTACAGTGATGAATTCAAATTGTTTTTAAAAACCTCATTCTCCTTCCAGCTGGCTTTCACAACACCTCCTCCACCCTTAAATATTATTGGGATCTACAAGAACAGTCTAAGAGTCAATAGATTAGAATATTTTGAATCACTGATATAAAGGCAAGGAATATCAAAAGTTGAATACATACCCTTTGGGGGTTCCTTCCTCTCAATTTTATCTTGTTTTTCAGGTTTGTCTCTGTGTGCTGTTACAAATAATAAACAAATAAATAAACCCCAGCTCACAATAAATATGTAATCTAAATGTGTTAAGCACACTTATTATCTCATGAAAGTGATCAAGGAAAAGCATTCATAAACCCAAATAATGGATTTTAGCTCTGAGTCACAGGTACTTGATGATGTATAGACTTTCTGATTGTCAACATTTAATTCTAGGTCCAAGAGAAATATTTTCCATGAATAAATCTTCAGATATCAGACTATATTTTTCTGAAAGAAGTGATTATTCAACAACCTCAATCTAATCTGTCCTTTCTCTTTTGGTCCCATTACACAACCACCCTAACTCGCAGATTTCTGACAGAGGAATTTATTTTCAGCCCTTGACAGCATTGCTTTCTATTCTTAACAAAAAAACGGCCAGCATATTGCTTTCTATGCTATTTTTTTCTTTATTTTTAGCTGTCACTTCCGTCACAGGATGGATTAACAAGAAAACATCTCTTTTAATCAGAGTGTAACCTCAGGAAGGGCAGCTGTTCAAAACACAGCCGTCTCCATGTCCTGCAAGAGGCGGGCAAATACGAGTCCTTATAGACTCTCTTGCTCACCTAGGTCTCAGACCGTCTTTTGAAGTGGTTCAATCCCACATACTAATCATTTTATTCTTAATAAATCCATAATACTAAAAGGGTAGCATTTCATAATTTCAAGGAAATATAATTTTCTTTTTTGTACCCAGGTTTCTGGGAAAAAGTAAAACAAATTCTGATTAGAAGACAGTGAGCTTTATAAACAAGCACATTATGCTTTTGTGTCCATTCATTTAACCAGCTTTGCAGTGAATGCCGTTTCACAAAAGTGCAAGCATTTTTTTGTTGGCTGAGTATTTCCACATTAAAAAGCATGTTGCAGTCATTAAGAAAAATCATTCAGAACATTCAGTAAATTCATTATGTCTTATGTGTGTTTGGATTATCCAAAATTCATTTTCAGTCATAACAAGTAAATTATTGCGATAACAAACAGCACTACAGTTGAAAAAGATTGAAGAGAGATATTTCAAAGCCTTTAAAGAATGTGGACAGCAAATTTACACTAAAAAACAGGCTGTGAAGAAAAAAAGCAGCACCAGCAATGCATTATTGAATGAATTATAGACTGCAACTCATTCAAATGATTTAGCAGATCTAGGAGCATACCAAGAAAAAAACATTCTCCAAACTGAGTATTTTTGCAGAAATTGTAGCATGCTTTTACATCTTGCATTTGTATTAGCAGATGCTGGCTCTGTCCTAAACACTTTTGTCAGTTTTGGCAGGACCAACAGCAGAGTTTAGCAAACAATGGCTCTGTGATGGCCAGTGTGAGTGAAACCTGAGCTTCTGCACATTCAGACAAAAGCTCTTGTAGTCTCTATGCCAAAAAATACAGCTGAACTATGCAGAACAGATTGATAATCAGAAAGCTTGTTTTTATTCACAGGGCATCTTACTGGTGTAAGAGAGATCATTGTGGGTATTTAAAAATTTGTTGTAGTTTTTCCATAGCATTTCCTTATTTCATGATTTGAGAGAAAAAACCCAAAAAAAACCAAAAAAAAAACCCAAACACACAACAACAGGAAAACAAACCAAAGAACTTAAAAGAAATAAAAAAAAAAATCCCCATACCCACACAGCAAACCCATAAAATGAGCCTTGAACAGCACTAACTGGGTTGAATGTCAGTAGACCTGAAAGTGAGCAGAAAAATCTAATTTAAATTTGTTTCACATCCTCAAAATGATGCAAACAGAAAAAATGCAGGGAAATACTAATATTTTTGTGGACTACAGTTTAAAACATGAAGAAGTGATCAGTTGGCCCTTTCTGGAGAAAGAAAAGTAACTTGATGTGTCTGGGCAGGGAGCCTGGAATGTGGATAAGCAGAGACCAGGCTGGCATAAGCATAAGCTATTTTTCTCTTCCCAATTATAGGCTGAAGGTGATCTCTGGTTAGTTTGAGAGCCTTATCCTGTGTGTTGATATCCCCATAGCCTCAGAGGTTGCTAATCTCAGATTGTAATGTTTATCATTGCCTCTTATGGGCACTGTCAGAGCTATGGCTTCCCTTATTTGGGAAGGGCAGGTGCTGCCAAAAAATTAAAGTGTTCATGTTTCAGGGCTGTGATCACTGGCCATTTTTGACTCCAGTCACAAGACCAACAAAATCCACTGAAGCTTTTGTTCTCACAAATTTAAATCTGAAATTTCTTAGCTTGTTAACTCTCCCCCAAAATATTTTCATGCTCAAATTCATATGTAGTTATGAAAGGTCTGTCACAGAAAATACATCACTGTCTACAGATAGTTTCCATATTTTATCACTTGGGTATATTTTGCTTTGTCAAGGGTTTAATACACGCTCTTTTTCAAGGTTAAATTCTAGGTGCAAGCATTCAATTTTAGAATTAGCCAGGCTGACCATATTGCCATGTTTCTGTGAAAAAAATTGGAGTTGATTGGATTTTATTTTCCATAAAAAAAAAAATAGAGAAAAAGAGCACAAACATACAAAAATGTTTTTAAGGCTACTTACTCACTCTTCAGCTGAAAAATGCTGAAACAAAAACTGTTCATTCAACTTGAATTCAACCATTTTATTAGCTTTATGACACAATTTGTAGTTAAAAGATCACTTCTTTTATTGCTTTTGCTACTAGGATGCTGGTGACATTCGTTAGAAAAAAATAACAACTAGACTTAAAATCAAGTAGATTTATGGCAATTATGGAAGCTAAAATTTGTCCACAAATTAAAAGAAATTTTCTTGGCTTCCTTGCAAATGCCAAGAAGTCATAAGCTCAGACTGAAGTGTTATTAATATTGGGAAAAATATAATGTCCCAACCTAATTTTCACTAACCTAGATTTTGGAAATTGCTGAAACATTTTGCATGTCTTTGAATAAAAATTCAGCCTGAGGCAAAAAGATGGGAACACGGGAAGAAAAACATGGGAAATCTCATGCTAAGTGACTAGAGTGTGATAAATTTATAAATAATCTAAAATAGAAGCTTATAATGGAAAATTCTAAGGTAATTTCACAATGTATTACAAACTTAATATTGCTATCTACTTCACAGAAAAATAAAAATAAGAAGCGTCACATATATGTGAGAGGATTTTCCTAATTTCATTCATCATTTCAGATTTTATTTGCATCAAATTGAAGACATAGTGAAGTGGGATATGGTTTAGTTTTTTCTTGGATAAAGTTCTCCAACAAAGACATTCCACCTTCCAAAACAGAAAGTGTGAAAAGAAGAGGTGTAATAAGGCTCTGCTACCATACCTAAGAGAAGCAAAAATAGTTTCCAGCTGAGTAAGTCTTAAGTCTGCTGCTTAGTACAAAGCCAGGTGATGAGTGCAGTAAGCATGAAGCAGAGGTTGCTTGCTCCAGCTAACACACTAAGTGCTTGTCTACAGAGCAGCACTCTCAGGAAAGTTAAGATAAATGAACTAATACAATGAAGTTAGAGTGCATTAGTCAGAGAGCGTTAAATCTCTGCCTAGATGCTTTCATTTGGAAGCAAAGAAACTTTAGATGGCTACAACTTAATTCTTCCTGAAGGAACACTGAAAAAAAAAGAGGTTGGTCTGGAAAGAGGCACAAACTCCCAGGTCCAAATACATAATTTAAGGAAACTACGGCTATGTTGCCATCTGTACCATGTTCTCTAGTTTAAAGTTAATGCAGACATAGTTGTAGCTGTACCTTGAGAAATCAGGCCAGACAGATTTGTCTGTGTACAAAATATGCTTTTTAGTTTATTAACTTAGTGAAACTATGTGGGTTTTTAGAATACTAGGATTTGTATGGTCTAGCTCTATTTATATATTTACCTGTCTCAGATACTTTTTCTTCCAGCTACAGCAAATTAACCATCATTACAATGTTTTCTTCCATACCTCACACCAACAGAAATGTATTAGTGAAGTGATTTTGGGAAAAGCCACACAGTAAATAAATGTTTTCCTATTCCTTCTCAATGCCTGTTTTAATTAGAGCTATTTCCCAGAAATGCAGGGCAATTTATTTCACTGGTGAGAGATCAGTTTTCCCTCAAAATCAGAAATTGTCATTGGACCTTCCATTAGACAGAAATTCTGTACTTACATATAACTTTATCTCAATATTTTTTACTATTGCTCTTACTTTCTGCCAAACAATGTGTAATTAACTCTTGTTATTGGTAGGAATAACAATAATATCACCTGTTGTGGCATTTACATTCTCTGAAAAATCCCTTCGCCCAGGATTTTTCTCCTGGGAAGCTGAGAAGCCTCAAAGAAAAAGGAAAACAATTCTTATCTCATTTGCTTCTTCTCTGTTTTGCTCATGTAGAATGTGTTTAGAAATTGTTTACCCACAAGTGATTGTTTCATTGGTTTCTGGTGTGAGTTATTTTGGCTCATTGGCCAATCAATGCCAAGCTGTGTTGAGACTGGAAAGAGTGACGAGTTTTCATTATTATTTTTTAACATTCTGTAAGTTTCTTTTCTGTATTCCTTAGTATATTATAGTTTAGTATTCTTTAATATAATATAGTATCATAAATTAATAAATTGACCTTCTAAGAACATGGAGTCAGATGCATCATTCCACCCTGCCGTGAAAATCCCTGCAATACAATAACCTGTTTCTTAAACAGACTCCAGCAGCAACTCAGTCCTGCAAAACCTATCTAGAACGCAATATCTAGATGCTCAGGAGAGTTGTATACAAAAAGATAATCAATCCCTTGTGCCTCTGCTGGCAGATCAAGCTCCTGGTCATGCAGTCTAGGTGCAACTGCACTTGTAAAATTACTAATACCTCAAATACCAAATTGGAAAGACCCTAATTTGTAGTGAACTTATGTGTACAGGTTATCATGAAATAATTTGATTTCAGGGCTCTTAAGCATGACCAATGGCTTTGTGAAATTATGTCTCAGAGTATTTCTTTACAGGATTAAATTTGTTACAATAATTGAAATAGACATTATTGCTAGTAGTTTATCAAAATATTTAATTAAAAGCAAATTTTAGGGCACCGGTTTGCTTGGCTCTCAATACTGTTTGAATCTTTTAATTTCAGTCACTTCCATCTGGGATTTTTATTATTCGTTATAACCATTCTTCATATTTCACTTCAGTCTTTTAAAAATGAGGCTTATAGCTTGAACTCCCTTGTAAATTGGCATTTGTACTCAGAGGATTTGACTATTCAAAAAAATACAATTAAATTACTTTTAAAACTCTAGTGTTCCCACATGTTGGGCAGAAGACAAATGTTTTTTGTACTTCCTGCTATTAAAAGTAATCATTTTACTTCTGGATTTTTTTTCTGTTAAAAACAATAGAAGACTGTATTTGTACACATTTCCTGAAAGGACTTTAGAAGGTAACAGTAAAATTCCGTAAGGATTCATGCCTTTTTCACACTGTAGACAGAGGCCAGATAGGATGTTTTCTCATCATTGTTCCTCCTATGTACAAGCTTAATTGCTGATATTAAACAAAAAAACAAAATCTAGGGAAAAAAATTGTTTTGTGCTGCAGCAACTGATTGTATAACTAGAGACTTCATTATCAGGTGCATAATGGGACTTGACTAATGACACCTGAACACTTTTTTTCTCTGGCATCTTGTAATTTCTTTGTAATAATTTCTGAATGTTAATATTGTTTTGTGTAAAGAAATGCACTTTCATATAGATGAAATGGTACACAAGAGGCTGTTTTGGTCAAGATTGCAGCATTATTTGTGGTTTTAGATTATTTTGTTTGAAAACACCTTAACTGGGATCCTTGCTAATGGATCTGAGTTCATTACTGCCTGGCTTGCCCACTGGTACTGTAAGAAATTCATTTTGATAAAACATGACTTATTAAGTAGTTGGGAAACATTTCTAGGCAGTCCAGATGACTCTGATTAACACAGAATTGGAGCTGAAAAACCCTATAAATACATTTTACAGAGGCGTAAAATACTATAAAACCACACTAAGAATACATATAGGAATGAATATAATTGCAGGAGGGATGGTGTATGTGTACACACAATATTTTTAATAAGCCTTCTTCTTGCTTCCTCCTGCCACTACCAAGCTGAGCACCAGTGTGTTAGAAGGATGCTCCTGAAGTTTTATGTGGCCTAGCCTTTATGGAGGAGCTCTGTTAGGCAAAAAGCCTCTCCAGATATCCCAGAAAACACCTTTGTTTATATGACCTCTGAAAACCAGTCCAAACCAGTTCCTCTGTGCATTTTTGGAAAGCGCCAGTTATAGGAGATTAAACAGTCTGAAAAAGAGCAGGTTCTTAAAATGGAAGTTTTTCTTATCTCTGATACACACCTGGCTCACTCTTAGCTATGACTTCCTAACTTGGATGGCACCCACTGACCTATAAATTTGTTTTTTTCCTTGCCCAACACACTTCATGCCTTTTGCACCAGAGGAAGTTCATCAACACTCAACTTTCTTGCACTTTGCTAGAAAAAAGATTTCTGGAAAAGTTTGGGCAGGAGAATCTTATTATGAATGTGCATTTTCAATCTAGCTACACAAGCATAAAATGATATTTTTCTGTTAATGCTAAGGTATACATGAATTTTTGATCATTTGCAGTCTGTGCCAGCTGATCTTTGAATGCTTCTCTGATACAACAGGAACAAGTTAACTAAGCTAACAAACAAAAATTATGCAGTTAACAAAGACACTGTATGTTACACAAGTATATGTGGGCAAACAGAAAAAAAAACCAGTTACCCTTCGCTGGTGTTCGTTTTTCAGGTCTCTCCGTTTTCTGTTTTTGAATTTCTGAAAAAAAAATGCAATGCAGATTTGTCAATATTAAAATAATTTTAGCACACAAAAATATCAGATGCATTCTCATATTAAAAAAAATAATTTAAAAGTGCTTAAAATATTATGGCTGCACCATGGCTTTATCACCTGCATTGTCAGAGTTATATATATATTTCAATTTTATATACATACATAGGCAATATATATGGATAAGAATCACAACATTAAGCGTCTTTAATAATTATTCTGTTTTTGAGCCACACAACTACCTTTAAAGTCACAAATAGCTTTAGCTGATCTGTAATAGCTATACAGTAACACATGTTGGTCATGATTCAGAAAAACATTATTTGCTAAACATTTTTTGTATTTATCTTGAGCTGTTTATCAAGACTAATATTTTATGTTCTCCAAATGACCTTTGGAAGGAAAAAATGTTCTTTTCACTACATTTTCTAAAATTTTTAAAGCTCACATACTGAATTGGTATCTCCAACACACAATAAAAGGTAGACTCAATGCTCTATACAAACTGCAGAGATAAAAAGTTCCCAGGTTAGGGATTGTTGTCTCAGAGAATGACTAATTTTGATCATGCTGTACACCAAAATCTGAGAACTGTTTTCTTAGAGGTGGAAGGTGTACAGTATTTATCTGCCTTTGTTATGCCATTACTTCTGAACAAAATTTTTCAGCCGTAATATTGATATTAAATTACTGCTATATACCTCCATATAAATCTTTTTTCCTACTGTCCTTATTTTGTCAAAACCAGGATAATATAGAAAAAATGGTAAAATGCTGAATTTTTGAAAAAGCAAACTAGAATTAAATCAAATGCGTTTAGCTCTCCTTGCACACAGTTGAAGAAATTTAAAGAGCATTTATTTTAGCTGTGCAATAAAGTCATTAAGACTATACAGAGTGCCTGGGATATCATATTGTGCAAATATTTCCTGCAATAGGAAACCGCTCTAAAATACTGTATGAAATTTGTTTTCAACAAAAGCAAATGCAAATCTCACTATACTCTGTGGGAGATGGCGTCTTGTGTTCAGCGTGGTCTGCAGGCTCTAAATAGCAAGAACACTGACCCCAAAATTAATCCAACAGAGGAAAAGCTGTGCATATTATATCTCAAGTCTAAGAAGCTACTCAAATTCTTATTGAAGACAATTGAAATATTTCACTTACAACCTTAGTAATTTTCTCAGGATACACATTGCCAAAGAAATCCAGTAAGAAATGCAATTTTCCCTCTCCAGATATTTACATAAGTCCTTGAAAATATTGCAGAATGTTTTTATTGTAGAGTATTTGGCATCTGAAATAATTTATTGTGTGTGGTTTGCAAAAACATAGCTATTCTATGGCATCAGGCCATGTTATCTTCAGATAGAGAGAATATTTTTTCACTCAGATAAAGAGTAACAAAGGGTAAAATACAACACTGTTAACCACTAATGTATGGAAACATAATTAAGCTAATTATATGATGTCATTAGGCTAAAAGAAGTTTTTATTCAGTTCTCATCTTGCTCTTTTCAGCCTGGCTGGCAGTTCATTTATAGTTCTATAAACCTCAAAGGGTGAGAATAGAAAGAAATATACTCTACTGATTTACTGTGTTTCAGCTGAGCCTGGATTATTTTTCTTTCAAATATGGGAGGATATTTTATTTTATTAACTGAGAGAATCCTCTTGCTGGATTTTCAAACTTTTCCCACTTGTTTTGCTTAAATGGCTACATGCTCTAGTTTGGGTAGCATAAATGGTAGGATTGATGCAAGACAGTAACAGATGGAAGATTGCTCCCTAATTCTGGGCGCATCTGAGCAGTTTTCCATGCCACTGCCTTCAAACACTGACTCAGAGGACTTAAAGAAAGCTGAGTCACTTCCTCTGCATTGCAACATTCTGTGGAGACATATCTCACCAGTTCAAGAGGTCACCCTACATACAGAGATGAATATGAATAAATCATATTGTTCAGGCAGAGTCACACAGACACATATTCCTTGCTTGCTTTAAAATGCCTCAGCTCTGCTGCATTTCTACTATGTATTACATGTCTCATTACAGAAAAGAGGTCTATTTTTCTTGAAAAAAATAAGTATAAAATAAGAATAAATCCTTATTTATTTAAAAAAAATAATAGTTTTAAAATTACTTTTGATTTAGGGACATTACTACTAGTTTGACTGGAAAATATATATGGAGCAATGGCTCTAAAGCTGGTTATTTAAATCAGGCTCACACTGTTTCGGTAGTGAAGCTTGCTTCAAAAAAATATTCCAGTAAGTTGCACAAAAAGATACCTTTTTAGACAGACACACTGAGAATCTCATCTAATTTTCTACTACAACTCAGATACCACACATCACAAAGAAACATACACAAATTCCTAGAAGTGAAGTTCATCTTCTTAACACACAAGTGTGTGCATAAAGGCTTCTACACACTGCAGAATGTCCCATCATTAAGGTCTCTTCACAAACTTCCCATTACAGCCTGAGCCATCATAAAAAACTGCAGCCTAGATCACATCAATTCCGACACATTACATCCCAAATTTTCCCAGTACAAATAAATCTAGTCTTAATATAAGCTAAACTGATTCAATTTACGAAACAGAAAATAGTAACTATTTGTTAATTTCAAAGTATTTAAAATCAGGATACACATTAGATTATTGGAGATTTTTTGTTGTTGTTTTATGAGAGTTCTGATACTCTCTGCTTCATCTTTTTATGACAAATAGCTTTAATTTTGTAGTAATCATATCATATCTTATTGCTGAGTTGACAAAGTGGTTGTAATATCATAGAAGACTTACATGGCCAGTTTAAAGCACATAATTCATCTCTATCAGTGTGACACATTGTTAATAAATCCTAAATATTACGAATTCATGTTTAGAAAAATGACAGAATCAAGCAGCAGCAAGGATAATCTTTGTCACCACAGCAACCATTCGGATTCTTTATGAGATGACAGCACAGTTTATGAAATTATTGTAAGGTAGTATGTTTTTTAAAAGCTGTATTTCATTGTTTGTTTTCTTAAATTATTAGGCAGTCATGAAAAATTATGTTTCTCCTTGTTTTGCTTGAGTTTTGAATAGATAATTATTTCCTTAAATATGGATACTGGTCGATGCTAATTTCTCTAGATGTCAGGTCTCGTGCAGATATACAGAACATATAGGGTGATTATTTTAAATAGGTCCAAGAAGGAAAGCTAGGAATCTTCTCACTGAGCATTTCAAGATGCTGAAAGGAGAGCATTCAACTATATTGCTGTCAAACTGATTTATCTATGTCCTGTTGACCCAAACCAGACCTTACCAGTCAGCTGAGGATCAGTATCGCAGGAAAATTTACTGGAAATCCCTGCTGAACAAGAGAGTCTGGGCAGCAGCTTCCCCACCCCTCACCCAGCTAATTTTCATTAACAGCAGTTGATAGTGTCTAACAAGAGCACAGCACTGGCTCTGCACTCTGGCTCCAGGAAGATCAGGATGGGAGAAAATAATTTCAGTCCCTTGAATCTCTGTGAACTAATGGGTCAGCACTGTGCAGGTTTACATCAGCATGAATGAAGAGCACAGCCCCTCATGATAGGGCATGAGGAGATTCTTCTGGCTCCTGGTTCCCTTCTTTGTCTGCCTCTGTATTTCTGATTTTGATTTTTTGTTATGTCCTTTTTTATAACATAGTAAAATGGATAGCATTATTCTCAGCTATTTTAATTTTATTGTGTTAGAATAGCATCTATGAGCCTTAGCCTACATGAATTACACATGGAGCTATGACATGATATAAATATCTCATCTCTGTAACACAGGAGTTCAAACTTAGAGGGATGCATTTCTTCTCTTGCTGGGAAAGCACAGCCTTGCATCTTGCTTCATTAGAGGATAAAATGGTGAGTAGCATTCTGGTATTGTTGAAATAGCAGTACACCTCACCCTCCACTGAGTTTCCATCTTACCATGAAATATACCTTAAAAAAAATCCCCAAAACCATATTAAAAATGTCTATGATATAAGAGACAAAGTGAGGAATAAAAAGAACCCCCATTTGAAACACAAGAATTCTTTACCCAAGGTAACACAGAAAGTTAGCAAAAGAACTGGGGATTTACCTCTGAACCTGACATTCAAGGTTACCCTCCATGCTTAAAGCCAACCTGTTACTACTTGAATACTGCAGTGAAGAAAGAATGTAGTTTTAATATCTCTTGTGTCTTAAATGTATAATAATTCTCTATGAAATGAGAATAGATTTTTTTCCTAAAAAATTTTACCAGCTGGTCATCTTTTTCATCAGCTGTTACAGGTAACACAGCAATTTACACCTTCAGTGCTTTGACATTCTCTCTCTTACAAATATCTAAACGTGAAAAGGAAAATTAGTCCAACTGAAAGTCTGGTGAGCCAGAGGTTAATAATTTCCTTTTGAGCAGCTAAAATCCTTACAGCTATTGCCAGCAATTTAGTGGGGCTATATCCTTGCTAGTTTATCAGGACTAATTGGTAGCAAGCAGCTGATTATCCTGAAGAGTTGGTGGAAACAGATACTGAGGGTGAGGCCAGAGTGAGTGGTGTTAAGAGTTTTAGAAGATGGGAGAGATGTCATTTCTAATGTTTTTAGAAGTTGTCTATGTGAAGAATTGTAGTCTACTCTCTTGCTGTTGGTATCCTCAGGAGAAATTTGCAATTGTGCAGCTGATGTCTATTTTTAATCTAGATAGTACCAGCTGGTGAGGGTGACAGTTATCCTTGCGGAGCTAGGAGGAGAAGAAAGGAAGCTGCGCATTAGAGCAACTTCTATCTGACGACTAATACATCAAGTAGCCGTGCTCTACAGCCAAAAACACCCACAGCAAAAGCAAAAAAAAACCCACCTTGTAACAGGAAAAAAAGTGCAGGGATAAAAAAAACCAAACAAAAAACTTGATTGGAGAATTAAATTGGTGTACTGTGCCCATATCCAGGAACCAAAGACCG